CCGTTGTGTATTTTATTATGTGAAGCAATGGTCTTAGAAAAATATCGACTCTTTGTTTGTAGATATCTACTAAATGCATCCGTGGAGGAGCCGTGGAGGAACCATCAGTGTATCCTCGGTTAGATCTCCTCCAGAGAGCCTCCTCGACGCTCGATCCTCGGTGTGCATTTAGAGAAATGAGATGTCCTTCAAAATGGCGCGCTGAAATTCATTTCCGGGTCACTACCGGAGGACCGAGGAGTCGAGGAGGGGCAATTTGAGTATTGAGAAGCCTCTATAGCAGGCATCCTCAAACTACGGACTCCGGTCCGGATCCGGACCGAACCACCACTGTCTCCGGACTCTGAGCAAATTATACTTTTCATATGTATTATCTTTCTGTATTATATGTGAGACATCGCCACAACGCATTCGCAACAAGTCAAAATTATCCGCTATGTCCACTGCAAACAGCGCTCTGCATGTCTGACTGTTCCACTGTGTTCCACCTGTGTGTGTCAACGCTTTGGTCCAATCACATTCAGCATCCAGTCAGCGTTTTTTCCCCCAAACAATCTGCGAATCAGAGGCACAGTAGGGCGGGTCTTCGCGGAATGCGGGTGGGAAAAATGTGTGTGTCTCTTTCAAACCTGTCTAAGTCAGAGCGAGAATTTAAAATAAATAAATTCAGAGCGAGAGTTAACAGCTCATCTAGTTCCATCTGTACTGTAGCTAGTAGCCTAGTTTCACCTACCGGGGTGGCAACTGACACCCTAAAAATAGGCCTTGCCACCCCAGCTGCCACCCCAGTTGGCAGCTTTGTTTTGAAAGAAAAGTTGTGGCTCATCGGACATTTATGAGAGAAAGTCTCTAATGTCCGAGTGCAAGTGAATGCAGCACAAGATGCACGTCATGTAACCCCTCCCCCGGTCCTGGCGCGAGCGTGGACATACGATTGGCGGCGATTTCATTTTGAACTGGACGGCGCAAAACGAGAAGCATTCGGACCCAAGCACTGAAGCAATGAGGTATTTGCGTTCTACAATGACAGAGAAGAGACTGTCAGTTTGGCTGTACTCAGCATTGAATCAAAACGCACTAAAGCTGTTGATCTTAATACGTTTGTGAGGCGTTTTGCTGAACAAAATGGTAATCCCCGCATTCAGCTGTAATAGACATGTCAACTTGATGCTCTGCTCACGGATGAGCATACACAACTATTAAGATGATGACCTTACGTGTGTAAATATATTTTTTTCTTTGAGGGGGTCTGCCCCCAAAAAACTGTTTTAAGTCCTGAGAAAGTCAAATAAGACGGTGTGTAAAACTACACTGCCCAGCCAAAAAAAAGTAACCACTTTGATTGAACTAGGCCAGTAGGTAAGGACTTTCCACTGGATAATAACTGCAGTATAAAAGAATGCATGTCTGAAGTGATGGAGACCATGTTGAAGGCAAACAAAAAGAGGAAATAACAGGTCAAATCAAGCAAATCCCCCTCTCAGATTCCACAGCAACCAGAAGAACATAAATACTGGCTGGTGATTTGATTCATCAGCTTTGTGATGGAATAAAAAATGCACAGTGCATTTCCTTAGCTGTGGGTGAGTCCACTGACACCACTGACAATGCTCAGTTGCTGGTGTTTGTGAGTTTTTATGATGAGGCAAAGGGGGAGTTTGTTGAAGATGTGTTGAGCCTGACGAACCTCAGTGGACACACAAGGGGGAATACATTTATAAAGCAATAATGGGAATGCTGAATGAAAGAGGGTGCAGCTGCCTTTATTCATAACTGTGCAGCTCTTACACTGCGACTCTGAGGGGTCAAGCACAGACACAATAACAATGAAAACTGCTGCATACAGATTATTTTTGTTTTTGCAACCTCGTGTTAAGAATCTTGTTGTAATTGTTTAAAAGTTTGAATGACCGTGATAAACGGACCTTTGTCTTATTGAAACATTTATTTTGGACCTTTAAGATTTGTATTTGAGTACCCCTGCTCTATAGGAATGAATGAGGCCCCGCCTCCCACGCTGTATCCAGTTGTTATTATACATCCATGGTTTGTGCGCTCACAGAGCATGCGCCACTTAAGCCCCGCCCCCGAGCTCCCACTCTCGGCTCAGTAGAATGAATGGACAGAAAATAAATCTAGATTCGGCTTTTAGTGCATTTTACAACTTTAAGGACCTGATGATTCTAATAAGGGCTATAAAATAGTTCATACTGGGTAGTTTAAAAAAAATTATCCGCTGATTTACAGACGTCTCTTTCCCCATGTTAGTCAATGGGAAAAGTATTTCTGGGCCCAGTGACGTCACGGACTGATACGGAAATTGTAGTACCGCCGTTTGGCCACTACGAATTTGTTCCATCCTGTGTCCGGCGCACTTCCTGGGGGCTTGGGAAAGAGGACACTACATCAAACCTGTGGTGACGAAAGCTAGCCATCTGTAGCTGCCACCTGCCACAGTCTTTCCGGGCCCAGCGACTGACACGGAAGTGTAGTACCGCCGTTTGGCCACAATGAATAATTTCAACAGAGTCCGGCGCACTTCCTGGGGGCTTGTGTAAACTAGCCAAAACACAAACAAAAACACTCACGTTGACCTGCACAATAATCATAATAAAGAGCTTACAAACACCAGCCATTAAAACACTTGCACTAGTCAAATATATTGAGTGCTCTTACCTTATTCAGGTGGTTAGATCTCGACATCTGTGTTGGAAGCAATGTCACACGTTTTCATTTTCTTCGACTTAGTTCTCGAGACGCATTTTCAGTTTTACGCGTTATGTCTTACTTTTTCGCGTTTGCAAACGTTTTCTCATTTGGACGGTAGCGTGACTATTTGCGTCAAATTCAAATCCCAGCAACGCGGTCTCATTTAGCTAGCAATTATCTCAGGTGTGAGTGATTAGCAGTGTGATTTGTGATGGAATAGTCCACTTATTTGTTGAAGGCGGGGGGAAAACTTTAAAGTTTAACGTTATGGGGATTTTCTGAATCGTTACTGCACGACGTAAATTACACATGACTTAACTAAGACATAATATGTATAGTATATAGTATATAAACATAATATTGTTAAAGGGAATAATGTAATGTTTGTTTTGTCTTGAACTATGTGAGTGCATCTCAGGTAACCCAGCGAAGCATGGTAAAGTCTGCAACGTTTGCAACTATGGTCTCTGACACTCAATGGTTAAACTATGGTCACATCAGCCGTTTTCCAAACTCAGCCCTAAAAATAATATTTAACCAATGTACCAATATATTTTTAACAGTAAGTTAAAAACCTTAGTGCATGGAAGCGATGCTGGCTGCTGATTCAAATAGAAAAGTTATACAAAAGTGAACTCTGACCTGCAACTCTGCTGAAGCCAGGCTAGGAGGTTTGACAGGACAAAATGTTTCAGCAGTGGAGGGGTTGTTATATACTACCTAACATTAGATCACAATCTAAGTTGATGAATGCTTCATGTATCTCTGACAAGAGGGACACCTTGCCACAAGGCCCATTAGGTAGCACCATGTGTAATGCATATGACCACAGACTGAGGCTGGTCATAACTTGACATGAAGTGGCAGCGCTTCTTATGCAATGAATTGGTGTTCTTCCCCTTATGGACAATGAGAAAACAACCTTGTGAGACAGCACACACCACTTAATTCAAGATGCTTAAGGCTCATGCTGCATAGCCTATCAATATTCCAATTACTTGTATATCTATACTATTCTGCAGTATTTATACTATATTTTATTTTATTTACTTGCACTATTTTATCGGTTTTATCTGTTGGAGGAGCCTGTGACCTAAGATTTTCATCGTCATAATTACACTGTAGCTATGTACAAATGACAATAAAAGTTTTTACAAATGCAAATCCGTCAAACAACTGACCTTCTATAATCCCTTTTTTGGATGTTTATCTTTTCAGTATTTTTCTTTGGTTTATTGGACATTTGATCGTGAAGTGGGAGATAAGAGAATGGGAGACCAAAGCAAATACGAAAAAAAGCTTTCTTTCTATACTGTAACATGGGCATTTCTGTTATCTTCTTTGAACTCTTCCTCTGGCTACGTAACAGAGTAGTGGTAACAACGATGTCCTGCCATTCTTTTTATACGATCCATTGTCTATCAACACCTTCAGCATTTCCTGAAAAAACGGTTGCCTCAGAGTCTAATGCCCTGAGCTTTCACCAGTGAGTTCCAGAAAACATGTTTTTCTGAAAATGACCAAACACTGCTCAACAGACAACTTAGTCATAGAGTAGCAACCTTTTATAAACTTGCGGTAGAGGTATGCACTGTTCTATGAATTAATCCCAGTTAATTTGGAGACTGATTCCATATGAATATGGAAAATGTGGGATAAAAACAATAGGAATACTGGCTAATTAATATTTGAACATAAAGCAAATACGGAACCTGTTCCTAGTTTTATAAATCTAGTTTTGCATTTCCCCCCCATTATTTTACTGTTCGCTCCAAATAGAGCTTGAAAGCAGGCTGCTTGTCTCAGTGATGTGGGAGATTTGGATCAAGGTAGGGATTTGTTTGACATAAAAATAACAGCTGATTCAGGACTCTTAAACACACACACACACACACACACACGGTTGCATATCTCTAGTGAACAGCTACACACACAAACCCTTGTGGTTGAGCACATTTTCACATATTGATATTTTTAACACCTAATTTTGAATTGTCAGTTCCCCTGTAAAAGTCTTTCTATCAAAGACAAACATAATTTAAGGCAATTTCATTTTTCAAAAATATTTTATTTGATATTGATCCAGGTACAAGGAAATAAAAGAACATGGATTTATCTTACAGGACATGGGAGACTTTAAAAGTTTATTTTCTTGATCCACTCTCTTCTTGGACATGCAAGTGAATACAGAAGGTGGTTACAGAAAAAAAGTACCGTAGGGTAGAAATGGCTTTGAATCGGAATGTCACCTCACTCCTTACTGTACAGAAAGACTTCAACCAACAACTTTCTCTTTTTAAGTCACTTTTTAATCCTCTTTTATAGCAAAAAGGCAACACACAGATAGGCTACAAAGAATCAAGAATATTGAGAAAATGAACACAAGAGAGGGAAAGTGAAAGTACTTTCATCCTTCCAAAAAGACATTTTCTCTATTGTCTTGACAAGCAAATTGTGAGCATTTTTGCTCCTTGTGTTCAAAAGGGTTTTAAGTTGCCTTAGTTTGGACATGAGAGGAGCAGTGTGGTGAACATGCAGGACGAAGAGTGACTCAGCAACTACTGACAAGGCATTGCACCGCGCCGTGAGCACAGTGTGCCATCATCTCTTTATGGCCTCGCTGCTCGGCTCGGACAGCAAACTTTACAAGGAACAAAAAAACACATTTTATATTCCACCAATCTTTATGCATATTTCACAATATACTTTTATTATCATTTTAATAAATACAAAACGACACTGTGATTTAAAAGAAAACAATGAGTATTAAAGAGACACTAAAACGCATTAGACATTAGAAATATCAATCTTAATTTGGTATGTTCTTTTACTGACATCTTGTCTTAAGTTGGATGAACCAGCACATTATACTCAGAATCAAAATCCACAGCAGAAAAGAAAAAGAGGGGACGACAGAATTGGACATGAGAGGGATATTTTTGTCAATGAAAATGGAATGGCATAATCAAGTGGAGATGCGTATGGATATATACACATATATACACATACATAAACACCACCAGAATGTAAAATAACCTGAGATACTCTTTGCACCTCATTTCCAGAACACTGGCCACTGGGTGGATGATATAAAATGACAATGGCATGACGACAACAGTACAACAGCTTCTGACGGCCTTTCGTTTCCACCCCCCTTTTATCAACATTAGCAGTACAAAAAAGACAAAAACAAACAGTCATTGAACCACAAAAATCCTGAACAGTAATATTGAAAACATGTTTGTAAGCAGCGATTTGGAGTCCGTAAAAGGCATACAAAAGAAACAAGCTTTCACTAAAAAAGGACAACCAATAATAAACCTGTCTTGAAAGACACAAAATTGCAATTCAAAGGATGAGAAGTTGAAAGCGGCAGATGATAAGTGGGTGTTTTGTGACGGTCAGGCAGATAGAAAGTAGAAAGTTCGCTGCTCAACACTGTGGCTGTAGATATGGAGGCAGAGGCTATTAAAATACAAGGCTTTTCTCCATTATCACTTTATCGTTTGAATTCAAACATTGAATCAAAGCTACATTGTAAATCATACACACACTTTTTTTCTAAGGCTGTGCCGACCATAGTGTATTGGTAGTTGAGGCACCAACCTTTAGAGCAACAAATGCTTTAATAGAGAACTAATTTTAACAGCACTTATCTGGACGATACTGAACAAATAATATAAAAAACATAAAACAGTAAGTGCTCTGAAAAGCAAACAATATTAAAATGATGGAACTAAAGACATAAAATTCAAAACATAAAAGATGTAAACAAATGATGTTGCTCCGCTGATATTTAATGCAGGTTTGGGAGTATCATTGCTACTAATCCCAAGTGTGATGTCTGCTTACCTGTTAAGGCTATAGAAGAATCATAAATCTGCCTCTGTAAGTGCAATGACTAAAGTACAGCATGTGGACAGATTTCACTGACTCTGTTTTATGGTTAGTGTGCTGTTGTATACTAAAAGAGCAGCGTAAACTCAGTGTAGTTAAATTATTTACGCAGTAAATCATAAAAACAACTTGAAAAAGACCCATAGTCTGTATATGTTGTCCAAAGCATTTAACACTACATTTCTGTTATTAAACTATTGGTTTTTCTGGACAGTTAATTGGGAATTCAGTAATTAACAAGGTCAGCAACAGTAATACAGTATCCTCTGTGCACAGCTCTCCAGCCTCATATCTGCCCTCAGACCCTGGGGACCCTCGTGTGTCTGCTGCCCCATTTACTCTCAACTATGGAAATGGGTGCCTTATTTGTAGCTGTCTGTGAGCAAAGCCGTACTCTTTAATATCTCTCTGTACATTATATAATTTCTTCTCTTTACTTTACAGTACAGGAACTCCTCTTCACCTTCCGGTCCTTCCGGTTCTTCATGTCAGCAGGAGCTATGTTTTTTGTGCTTATCACCAAAAATTGCAGTGCAAAAACAATAATTATAATAATGATAATAATTAAAAAGGTAACTATTAACAAACAATGGATTATAAAACAATTATTTTATGGCACAGCAGCCACTCAATTCACATATAATACAAATAACCAGATAAAACCAACCGTTTCTGTATATGGAAATCAAAAGCTCAAACTGAATTAGGCCTGCATAGCAATGCAACAACATGGTAAAGAATATATTTACAGGAAACAAAATGCCCTTTCTCCCAAGGGCAGTTACCAGAAAATGTGTTCTTGTATAGATTGTTTCTTTTTTTTTTTACTTGCTTTTTTCTAACAAAACAAAAATTACAGTAAGGTAGGAGGTGGAAAATATTTTCTTGAGGACGAAAACATAGTGAGATGTACAGTATGTCTGTGTCTATACATCGCATTTACAGTTCTGTGACACCGCCCTCTGCTGCACTCCTTCTCTCCGAGGGCACACAAATAATGGCAAAGTTCGTAGCCCGACAACGAGGGCGTCATGCTCTCCAGGACAGAGCGGCTGCTCTCCAGGTCAAATCCAAGGCAGACCACTCTGTTGGAGGTAAGGGGAATAAAACAATAAAGTGTCAATATTGAGAAATAGCATATTCTTTTAAATAAATAATAGAAGCATTTTAATCAGAAATGACCTTGTCCTAATGTGCCGATACATACATATAGAATTTAATTTACATTAGCTATCATAATACTGAATAACAGATTAGGAAGCAAAGTAAAAGATAGACCTACAAAAATTGGACTACACCATGTGACTTTTTCACAATACATGTAGGTTTGTATATGTCTGTCTGTAATAAATGGAATTACTTACATAATTCTCCCGAGTACTGTCCCTGTCCATTGGTCCCCAGGAATTCAGCGTGCTCTGTGGCGGTCCACTGTTGAGGCTGTCGGGGCCCCTCGGCCTTGCGTGGCCCTGTGGAGCCCTTAGAGGAGGCGGTGCCGGAGGAGCTGTGGCCGCCAGGAGAGGGGAAGGAGGGTTTGTTGTATGGCAGGCACCCATCCTCTGAAAACAGAGGGAAGGAAAGGAATACTAACAGTTTAAAAAGTTGTCACGTGACTTTCTCTTGTTGCAGTGAAACACATCTAACATCTGATGCATGGAGACAAAGAGCAATTTGCAACCCCCCCCCCCCCCCCCCCGCTGACATCTGCACAGTGGCACCGCCAAGAGGCTATGCCAGGCCGTGCCACAGAGAAGAATCTCAGCCTCACACATGGCCTTGCAGCTAGCAGCTTTATGAGGGGGTAAATACAATAACAGAGGGTCCACTGGAGGCTGCGGGACCCCCCGCTGCAGGGCACCATAACATTGACCCTCAGCAGTCTCCGTCGTCGCGTGAAATCTCATCAAACTGCTCCCCACCACTCGGCTAATGACTGTAATGGAGCCTGCCCTGACCTCAGTGGATTCTGCTGTGAATCAGTCAGCACTCTGACACATATGGGAATCCACCTATGGGGTTTTTCGTAAAGATGCTGATTGCGGCACCTGTCTTTGTCTCACAGTCTCAGATTAACTGTCTGAGAAAGCCCTGGCACAAAGAGAGAAGGGCGCACAGCATGGAGAGCTCTAATGGTCACACACACACACACACACACACACACACACACACACACACACACACACACACACACACACACACACACACACACACACACACACACACACACACACACACACACACACACACACACACACACACACACACACACACACACACACACACACACACACACACACACAGATGGGGTGCAGAGTGGCTGCTGTTTGTGTGAGAGAGGAAAAAGCCAAAGCGATTAGAGTGCATTTCAGTTGCCGGGGCCTCCTGCCTTACTTGGAGCGGAGCAGGATGATATTGGCAACAGTTGCAGGGGCATTGGGGAGGCTGAGGGGGGCATTCTGGAAATCAGAGCAAGTGGCAGACTGTGCAATCTGTTCATAGGAGCCCAGTCTCCACACAGCATGAGGGCTAACTTCAACACAGAACTCAGAAATCCCTCACTGTCAAACCACAACAGCAGTTGTGTCTGTGTTGTTTTCTAGCTATAACGCAATGATTTATATCAAGCTATTCTCTATCTCTAGCGTACATGTTTCTTTTTCCGCAGTATTGAATAGTTGGAAGTAAGCAAACATGTTTTATGTATATTGTGTTGAAAAGTGGGGAGAAGTGGTTCAATTGAAACATTATTTTCCTAGCCCTTTATTTATTTTTAATATAAAATGGGAAGTGTCTTATGTTAAGGCAGGAGTGCACTAGGCTAATTACTATGGGAATGGTTTTATCATAACCTTTTAGTAACCATGCCAGAAACATGGCTCTAGTGATGGTCTGTCCATGCAGCTGTCAGTTCAATAGTTGGTACAGTCCATTCGTCAGTCCAATTGATTGCCAAGGAATACATCTGAATACGTGTTATGCTCATGAGTGTGAGGTGTGTAACAGCTTTACATCGTGTACACGTACCTGTTTTGTGTCCCCTGCGCCCCTCCTCGGCTCGCTCCATGGAGCCCAGCCTGTCCTGAGCCTGGCGATGATGTTCCAGAGTAGTGCGTGTCTGTCTGTCAATGTTGCTCTTTATTTCCTCCAGCTCAGACATAGGCGGGCACTCCAGAGATGAAGCCTTCCCATCTGGGGGCGGTGCCACACTGCGGGCCCCCTGGACCCGCCCCTGCCCCTGAGAGGGAGGAGGCTCAGGGGGAGGAGGTAGGTCTGTGAAAAGTAAAAAGGTTCAACAATGAAGACATGTCCAGACACATCCGATATTATGTTTCTATACAGTAACTTCTAGTCTGTAAAACAACAGATGTTTTGGGGAACTTTCTACATAAACTATTTAAAATGTGTTTTCAGTCGCTGCCTCACCGTCTCCACCAGCATCTCTGCGGGGAGGTGCTGTCCCCTGGCTTCGGGGTTTGCGTGTGGGCCTGGTGGCCCTCTGGTGGCCCAGGCTGTGTGAGCCCACTGTGCTGCCATCTGTTGAGAAGGGACTGCTGGGCCGGGGCCTGTGGGACAAGCCTTTACCTGCAAGAGGGATACAGGAACACAAGCCAGCTGATTAATAGAGACATTAAGGAGATGGTGCTTGGACTGTGGTGCTGACATCAGGAAAGGTTATCAATCAAGATTCAGAAACCTATCAGAAAAGAAAGGTGTTCATTAGAGGAGAAAGTCATCTGGTAGAAGCCTGTCAAAATCACCCGTTATTACTCTTTTACACCCAAGAAAGCCAAAGTGCAAAGTGTGCTTAGCCAGACGAGTCATAGAAGAACAAGTTGAAGATAGCAAGATATCCGTAGTCCAGCCATTAACAACAGGTGCCATGCAAAACACAGCGTCCACAAGCAGCAGAGAGGAAATCCAACATTATGGGGAAACATGTCAGCCAATGGATGACATGAGGAGGAATCAGAGCAGAAAGGAACAATTCATCTGCCACTGGGAGAAGCTCCAGTCCAGCAGTGTGTATCTGGACACACCAACCTCTCTTGCTGAGGCTAGTGCCCTCCAGCTGGTAGCCTGCCTTGTCTGCAGCGGCCACCAGGGCCTGGGCAAAGCTGCATTGGGTAAAGATGGAGCCGTCGGACGAACTGCCGTAACTGGACCTATGGCTGGAGAAATTACGGTCATCCTCCGAGGCTGAGCCCCACCCATTCACCATGGACCCTGTTGAACACCACAGGTTTTGAGCAAGTGCGTGGGTGTGTGAGTGTGTTAGACTGCGTGTGAAGTCGTTTTTTTCTTTTTAAAACACTTTAAACACAGCTTGTTCATACTTCTCAGCTCAGTGGCCATAACCTTTATGGATATTTGATCTGACATTTTGAACACCTGTACTGTGATTCCGCTCTTAGATTGATGTCTGATTGAGTGATCTTATAAAAAAAGAGGTAAAATTACCTCCTTCACTTTAATTATTTAATATTTGCTGCAGGGCACTTCTGCTGTTGCAGGTGAGTGCTTTTACAGTATATAGTCATTCTGTTCTGGCCTGTCGTCTTTCATCGGATACACACATGCAGAAGACATATTGCTTTCACACACAGGTGCATTCAAATACAATACCAGAATGTAGACAGTGAAACAGCAGGACTGACATCAACACATTTTGTGCTTCCTTTGATATAGAACAATGAGCGCACCTGTGCGGCGGAGCAGTTAGTTACAAAACTGCCTCAGGTGACACAGACGGAAAGCTTCTCATAGAACAGTGAGTCAAACACCTGGTGGTAAACACACATTTTTCTTCATTGTGAAAAATGCACAGCCATAACTATCTCAAATGTATTATCATTCTGAGAAAATAATTGTTTAAACATTTTAATTATAGCTACTACCATTTTGGATGCATTTGCTCTTGATATTACTTTACAGATGATTCAAAGATGGAAGATAAGTACAAATATTTTACTCAACAAACATTGGAAGAAGATGTGTACATATTGTTATGTAATCTGTGCTACTGTAAGTATTTCTTCAGGCTTTGTTTTATTTTCTTTGCACATAAAAAGCTAGTCCAGCACTTTATATATAAAAGTATCAGCCTGCCAATAAAAGAAAATGCCACTTTGGCAAGCGAAAACACAGAACAGTCGGCTAATGTGACAGCTTTCAGTGGGACTGGTTTGGCAGACTTTGCTCAAGTGGCACGAACCCAAGTGCTTTGCTCACACACTATCTCTCCCTCACACCGTCCGCAAGAGTGATGTGATTGAACAGACTGGTGTAACAGAGAACATGGGAGGTGTTAGGCTAAGGATGGAGGGGGAGCAAAGGGGACAAAAAGTTAGCAGCAGGATTTATTAAAAGGTCATTTTGAATCAAAGGGTGGCATAATCATGGCCGGTGTGGTTGGCAGAGTTCAGAGATTCAAATGAACACAATAAATAAATACTGTATAGTATGTGCAGTATTAAAAATGGAGTTTCACAGATTACAGTTTCAAACTAAACTTGGTAATATAATTGTTTTTGTTTTTTTTATGCACAAACCCCCCTCAAAGGGTTTTCCAACTTCTCCATCTCTGAGTTGCTGTATACCTAAAACCCTATGACTGAAAGAGGTGGTTACTCAGTCACTGGATGTGAAGGAATTGCACATTCAACGGCTAAAGTTGCAACAGATTTTCACTCCTATTGCAGTAAAAATGTGTCAGACTAATGGAAACTTTTATAAAATATAAGCTTGCATAAGGTAGAGAACCCCTTACACAACCCATTTTTACAGCGCCAACTCAAATCCAAAGCAGTAACTACTTCGAACCCTTCATCTTATCGAGCCATTTTCTTTGAAATTCTTTTCTAAGAGTTTTTCTCTAAGAAAGAAAGACAGCAATTCCACCGGGTCCAATCCTCCCACAAAGCATAGAGCAGATATTGAAGTATAGGCAGAGCCAGCCGAAGCACTGAAGCTTCCAACTCCTCCGGCTCAGCGAAGGAACACTGCCTCAGCAAATCACATCACAGAATGACTTTTCAGTTGCACTAACTGCCACTTTCTGCTGCTGAACCTCTGGAGCACTTCCATTCTCAGAAATAGCAGTCCAATCAAACTGTGATCATTGTCAGATAATTTGATAAAAATTCAATCAAGTTTCTCTTTTGCCATAGAAATGTGTTAGTTTTTTTCTTTTCGCACCAAACAAAGATTTGCACTACATGTCTGTCATTTTATCATGTGTTAAACCAGAGCAATAGGCCAAGCCATGCACTCTAAAAACCACTGGCTGCTACATCCCGTGCTCCCCGCTCTGTTAGAGGAAGGCCAGTAAACGCTGAGATGGTTGGGGGGGCAGTAAAACCCAGCCCAGGTCCCTCCTAACACTAAAACTGATTTACACTGACGGAAACCCTAATCTGCATGTCGTTAAGCAGGAAAATCATTCCCCCTGACGACAAGGCGTCTCTACCTGCCGTCAGGAGACGTGACCCTGCTCCTCACAAACCTGGCAAGGCTTTATGGGAGAGTAATCGCCCAGAACAGTAGGCGTAACAGCCTCACAGCTACCACATCTCAGCTTTATACGACATATAACGCCTACACACAAGTCAGGTGATACCTATGTGTTTTACTTCATCTCTTTTGCTCGAACAAGATTTAGCTCCGCAGCATTACCCACCACAATATAAGGATTTGCATTTATCTGCCCAAAACAGAATGTGCTGTTCTATCTCAGAGAATAGAATAACACTTTGGAAAGCCTGTGCAGGCAATCTGCTGGAGAAAAATGGCCCCAGAGGAGATGGCAGACTTTCTTTTCTGAGGCATCTGTGAAAACATTTGATTTACTGGCCTTTGGTTTAACATTATTAAAACAGACCTATTTCCATATTATTAAAGCAGTGACATGTCTATCAAGCAAGGCTCGACAGGAATCTCGCCCCTACCCTCCCCTATTTGTATAGCCTCAAAATGGTGGCCACAATAAATCTCATCAGTTTCCCCTTTCCTCCCTCTCTTTCCTCCCGCTATAACCATGGAGCTGCGACCGTGTCTGTGTTGTAAACCGATGGGGTGCGAGGCAGACTTGCAGAGAGATAAGAAGAAATAGTGCTGTCTTTAGAGTAATACGGTGGGGGAGAGATGCAGTAGATTAGGGCCCAGTTGCTGCTTTATATTCCTTTAAATACATCAGCAGCAGCATGTGTCAGCGTAACCAAAACCACTGTTCCATCATCCAGTGGAAATCTACTCTTTAGGGCTGCCACTGAGAGGGTATACCAACAAGCAGCGCTGTCAACCCTCTTACCTTCACACATACAGCTATAGCCATTTCTTTCCAACCTGACATTGACCAAAGATGGATTCTATTTTGTTGTATTCACAGACTTTATGGGAAGACGGATTAAATATACAGTGCCACGTAGTATCTCAACTTGCCCTAATAATGCATGATAGACAAAAAGCCACACATTATTTCAGAAATATCCCTCTAGTTTTACCCACTATTTTACAATTAGATAGTGGGGCCTGGTCAGTATAAGAGCAACAGTCCAGCACACAGCTCTGCCGCCGCAATGTCATGCCCTTCATATGTCGCCAGGACAGACGGCTGTTAAAGTTTCAGTGAGTTGTAAAAATGGAAATGGTGCCTCTAGCCAGCAAAGGAATATGCTGCACGTGAAATGTATTTCAAATCTCCGAGTGAAGATATGGGAAGCGCTGGCTCCTGTGCTATGTGCAAATTAAATCACACTCACTCGCTCCTGCTCGCCTTGCCTCTCCCTCCTCTTAATTTCCCTCTCACTATCCTGTTTAAAATTCATGGACTTTCTTATCTCTTTTTTGGAAATTATAATTATAATTCCCCGGAGTCTGCCAAAAGTGCTTACAACATTTGATTGAGGGACTCAGTAAGCATGTTCACATAACAATGTACCCATAGCAGACTGCTGAAGAACATGTCATGAACAACTATCCATTACAGGCAGACACGATGTTACAACAATGGGTATTCAATGTGTTCCCATTTCACACAGTAATAGCAACATAGTACAACATTTGCTTTGAGAAAAAAAAAAAAAAAAAAATATGATTTCATTGTACAAATGTACACAAGTAAATAGTGAATATACAAATACAGTATATTATCATATATGTACATCAACCAAGGAGCGCACAAGTAGCCACAGTTCAGACTCCAGCTTACCTGTTAAAGAGCTGTCCAGGTTGTCCATGCTAGACCCTGGTGTGTGCTCAATGCCGCGGGGATGCCTGGCTCCATAGCCTTCATCCTCCTCCTCTTCCTCTTCCTCCTCCTCATCTTCATCAGGTACGTCAGTCTCCAGGTCAGAAACCATTGTGCTCGACACGTAGCCCAATGGAGGAGCTGGAGCCTGGGGGGGGAGAGAGCCCACTTGCATGTGCCTGGGAAGAGAAAGAAAGAGTATATGACTCTGAAATCCACATGCAGTATAAAGGAATGTGGAGGAATACAGAGAGACTAAAAGGAATATTCAAATGATTGTATGCAACAGGATAGGGAGAAACTAAGACTGTATGTGGAAGTGTAGAGATCATTTTAGTGATTATTTTTTCATATGTGAAGTGCTGAATACATTTAGACAATTTCACTAATTTGAGGTTGCTGCTTGCATGCTAACACAATGACCCGCTAATTGCTGCTGTGGATGGTACAAAGGCATGCTCTCCAGGCCTGCCGACACATGGCTGTCACCTCAGTGGCAAGCCGCTCCGCTGTCAGCCGCGCTTGTTTGAGGAGCACAATGTATTTGACGCGGTTTGCAGTGGGAATTGGTTGTAATTACTGGCCCTCTGGTGTTGTCAAGGATGCTCTCTAACCAACATAGTCATTACTGGGTAACATGACATCTCCTTCCTGACAAGGCTTTCCTGTCACCCCCACCCACTTCACTGTTATGAATGAATGCCAGTCTCTCATTCTGCCCACGTTGCTGACAGAATGAGGCATGGCCTTTATCTGACTTGCATGAGCACAACAACAATGGAATGTGCCGCATGGGTGTGGGGGGAGTAAACAACCGTGGGTAAGAAATGGTGTCTCTTAGAGTGAGCAAAATACAGTAGTCGCCTAAGTGCTAGCACTGGCCCATTAAAATGAAATGATTAATGGGTTATCTCCACTGCACACACAGTTGACATGAAGAATGCAGCAGGACTGAAATAAAGTCTTGAAGCAATGCATACAGAACAGAACGTACAGTAAGCCTTTAAAAAACGGTAACAATGCATAAATTATCAACTAGGAAAATATATCTTCCAAGATTGATTGATGGATATATGTAAATTAGATAAAGACAAGTGGACTATTGAAGACTATATAGGTTCAACATGATGGGATTTATTGTCCTCATTGTAATTCATCGCCTGATAGAGAAATGATGCATCATGCTAGGTTGACTTTGAAATAGCAATGTGTTTCAAGAGGGATTGCAGCTAAATCACAGATTGGTATCATTTAGTTTTAATAATGCAGTGTTTACCATGACTGTTTTGCCATGTCCATTTGGTATGCTCTGGTCAGTTCATCCAAATGTGACTGGAGCATGGGCTGCATCTCCTCCCGAGGGGAAGGGGTGAGGGTGGCTGTGGACTGTTGTCCAAAGGACACAGCAGCCGGGGAGGATGCAACCCCCCGGATGGGCGGGGTGGGGACCCTCTCTTCCTCCTCCTCCAGCTCATCCTCCATGCCCTGGTGGAGATAGGTCTGCACCGGCATAGGCGGGCCCCAGCCGTCGCTCTCATACCTGATGAAAGAAAAGAAGATATAAATAAAAGTGTGGAATTGTATCCAATATTTATTCTAGAAATGTAATGAAAATGAAACAAAGAAAACAGCTAATCCTCATAATTAGGGAGCTAAAATCAGAGGATGTTTTTCATTTATTTTCACTTTTTTAATTAAATCTAAAATATTTAGATTATTTGTTTTATTTTGTATTAGATTTAAATTTTTGTATTGATGATTGACTAATTGTTGAGGCTCTTATCATCTACAACATCTATATTGAAGAATATAAGTCACCACAACAAAAAAAGCTAAATACATCAGACAAATTAAACGCAGCACATTTATTCAAAAGCTATGCTTGATAAAGGAAATAGGAAAATATGTGTGGACACACAGATCCACACAATGGTATGTGATATTGTCAATGTTAATGAAAAGGGAGGGAATAGCATACATATATATTTTAATGCACATTCCTATCTAACAGAGCTTTGTGACCTTGTCTAACTTTTGAAACAGCCTTGAGTGGAATTATGGAGGTAGTCAGGCCTCACTTTCTCCTAGCTGTGGTTATACATGCTGAAATAATACCAGTCATAAAGAAAATGTTCATTAAATAAATTTGTCAGTGCACACGCCATAGGACATAACTGTTTTAATCTGCAGCCATTAAGAGCAGCCTGAGATTTACAGCGCACAGGAGTCTTCATTTGCCAGAAAGCCTATTAAAGTAGATGACTTTCTCAGATTGGAGGTGGGAGTAAGAGGACATGGCACCTATTGGACCAAAGACAGACACACACTTAAATAAGCCTCTGTTACTTTGTTCCAACAGTATTGTATGTCTGAGCTTCTGTTTGATTCATCAAACTAAATTAAATGTTAGAAATGTGTCATGTGATTTTGAAGTAATGTGATTAAAGTAATGACATGATTATTATTGCATCAAACATCCATACAAAATATGGCAGCTTTTTTACATTTAATTCAGACTAAGAGGTGGATAGAGCTGTGATGGTAAAGCTACCTCCCTCTGTGTCTTGCTGCTCCCTTTATGAAACAATGCAATTATAATTGTTTCCCACTATGGAATTCAGAAAATAGATTAATCTCAAACCATCTGTGTGTCTACACGCTAGTAGCAGCAGGAGACTGCTCAAACATTGTTGTTTTTCTCCTCCATTTATTTTCCAGTCATGAAGTCTTCAGATTGAAGACAGGAACAGCAGATAGTTTGATCTGCAGCCATCTGTATATGAGTTTTTGTGTTAGAGCCTGTGTAAGTGAGAATGTGTGTATCTGGCTGCCTGTGGAGACCATACCCACATTGATCCTTCCTTTTTCTCCAGATGTACACTAGTACAGTAATTAGCTGCAGAGAAAACAGAGCTGAACCCTCTTATTGTACACAGCAATGTGTGGTGTACCTTACTTTGGCACCCACTGTCTAGTTTCTCTATTACCGATGTAGTACTCTTCAGAGGAGAAGACATACAATAATGGCAAAATACAAGCTGCATACAAGTATTGGATAGTATTGGATATATATAAACCTGTACTGTATAATACTCTAAGCATTTACCCAAATGTACCTACATTTACTCTAAATATAAAAACCTAATATACATCTAAATGAAGCTATGTAAGTAAAAAAAAGGATGTGATTTTAAGAAGAAACATATATGTCAGAATTGCATGATTATTCTTGGAAACTGAAAGTTGTGTACATAAAAATAAGATTAAACACGGCTTGAAATGTCTTAAAAAAATACATGAGATAGATACACAGATTAACAAACATCTGAACATATTTAGTCATATTGTGTGTGTGTGTGTGTGTGTGTGTGTGTGTTTCTGCTCCTTGCTTTTAGCCTTTTGGATTCCCTGTCTGCTCTTGCCCTATGTTCCAGGATTTAAGATGCCATCAAAAGGTAAAACTAAAACAGCAAAACCTGGCAAGTTTCATCATGTGCTAAACAGAATAACAGAACAGAATAATGTATTTGTGTGTGTAGTAGACATACCCTCCTCCTTCATGAAGCTCATTGGGATAAAGGTCCATTTCAGTGCCAGGGAGTGGGTGAATAGGGGGAGGGGGGAGGGGGACATTGGCCCAGTTGGATCCATTGGCTTTAGTTGGTTTGGAGCCACCCTTGGTCTTCTTCTTCTTCCCTCCCTTTCCACCTACAAAAGGAAATAATGCATTAAGAGACACAGTCATTGAAAATTAGATTGCAAAAGAAAATCAATTACAAACTAATAAACAAGGGGGATAGCATTGCAAATTACAGCAGCTGCTTTTGTCATGTAACAAATGTGTATGGAGAAGAAACTCAATTTAGTCCAAACATACTACTTAGATTACAGATCGATTTGGACTTCAACATATCCTCAGAAAATAGTCCACAAATTCAAAAACAAGATTTCAATGCCTGTCAGTGCTTACATAGAAAAGCTCAAGGTTGCTGGATGAAAAGCTTCCATTGATTAATTGGCTAAAAAGCCTCAAATCACCATAGAAACAGGAAAGAACGGCAGTAAACGAGGTTGAGACAGACCTTTGTGCCCCACCCATCCCTCAGTGTCCCCTTTCACACTAGGCTTTGGGTTCCACAATGAAATATCTCACTTCACAGCATCATCATAATGAATGGCTTGTGTAGTGTCAGTGTGTCCCTAATGGAATTCACTGAGAGTCTATTACTACTTTCATTTATTTTATTACACCGGAGAGCCGCTAACCCCATCCATTTCCACTCATATCCCTTCAACCCCAGATTCTCCTCTGTCCCATCCATCTTTATAAATCTGCCAGCCTGGTCAATACTGGGTTTTATACGATTTGGTCACAGTGGGAGAAACCTATATTTCTTTCAAACGCATTTGACTTCAAGCACAAATCTGTTTTTAAGTTGAAATATATACACCATACACATATTCCTGGAAATAGGAAAAGCGAATGAACATACACTGTAGTGTACATAATATGATATTTTCATGCAATTTAAAAGTGAAATCCTTTTTTGGTCTGATGTTTATAAACATTTGACAGCTGTTTTTGCAATTTAAGGATTAAAAAATATCAAGAAAAGAAACCTGTTTTTGGATGGTTGCTACATTTTTACCAGCTCATACTCGTTACACACTGGAGGAAACTCAGGAAATGTTCCGACTGTTAACAATTCAGACTACTACAGGCCTGTAGTACTGGTGTCATGTCCACATCACTTGGTAAAACATGATTGTTTTCCCCCTCATTTTAGAGCTATAATAATTATTTCCATTATCAATTCAATATTATGTTGTACCATTTATTTTGGAGCGTTTATGTGTAAAAAAATAATATTATTTCTATCATGACTCTTTTTTCAAATAAAAGAGGAGTACAGAGAAAGACTACACAGTATTTGCATGTGCAAATCCATTTGTGGCACTACCAGTAAACACTTAACATCTCAATCCTGGAAATGCCACTAACTGACGTCACCAGCCACAGACTAGTGAAAGCCGTCTTTGGAAACTCTGTTGAACACATTTGTATCTGTCAACTGTTGGTTAGCCTCCCTCTGCCAAAGGCCTGTAATCGCTTTTCCCGAGTGCCACAAAAAAGCTGCCCATACTGCATCTTGTGCATTGTAAAATAATGCTCTCTAATGTAATCTAATAAACTGACTTGAGTCAGGCTTGGTTAAAAGTAGATAACTGTCATCAAAATAAACTTACGGAGGCAATGAGGTACATTTGTATTGATTCTCATGGAAGCCAGATGGCAAATAAACTAAAAGACTCTGCCCAATGATGTTTTCAAGTCCAGAAAATGATGATTATGTTACTATTATGAGTCTTATACTAGGAGGAATACAAAAGCACTTCAAGGATGTTCATGCTAAAGATGCTAGGGCAGGGGAGGACATATCCGGGATGATGAGATAGAAGCTATGTCAAAATAAGATTAATAAAGAATAGAAGTAATAAAAGAAACAACTGTAAGCCAAGCAGCACCAGCGTATAGTCTGAAAGTAATTGGGTTTCCTAAGCATACCTCTGGGCTTGACTTTTACCAATAAATGGTGAGCTGACGTGATTCTTCAATCATCCTTAGCCCTTCCACACGAGACCAGTCATCAATATTGTAAATGAGCCTCTTCTAGGGAAAGATGGTCTGGCATTGAAATTACAACAGCTCACCCCAAATATGAAAAATACAGAGAGAGAGGCTGTGGCTAGGAGCTATACATGAGTTACACAAGAACCCATCTCCTCTGACAAAACTGGGCCTCTCTTCAAAGGGGAACTTAAACTAAATATAGATTCAGCATTGTGTATTTATACCCAAGGTTTGGGCGCTTCCAGCCTAAAACTGTAGGGCTGCATGGCCTTGAGCTTGCTCTGTTTTTATTGGGTGCGTCAATGCTGTGGAAGAAAGCCACAGAGCAGCGACTCTAGAAGGACTATGTAGCCATATATATCTTATGGGAATGGGAGAATCATTTCAAAAAAGGCATCAAAATAACTGAAAATCATGTTTTATCTTTTTTTTAATTCAGTGTAGAACAACAAGAACAACATGAGGTGAGATGCAACATATAAGGAGAGTGCAGGAGCACGACAGGTCGCACATAACATCGCCATCGGACTTGACATACTAAAGCAGTGCTTCTCAAAGTGTGGTCCGCGGACCACTGGTGGTCCGTAAGCGCCCCTAGTGGTCCGTGAGTATATTGCAAAAATTTCACATTTTTAATTAATTAATTAATTAAAGTTTTCCGCACTCTCGCAGGAATATCTCCGCAATGGAGCGAGCTTAAGTTTAACTTTCGATTGCATGATATAACCCAGATAAACACCTTCATCACACATTTTGCCACTTGTTTGTACAATTTTCAGGCGATTTGTAAAAAACGATGTGTTTTTGGATATTTGTGGAGTTAGGTGGTCCGCGAGTGTTTTTTTATTGGTTAAGTGGTCCTTGGTATGAAAAAGTTTGAGAAACACTGTACTAAAGGAATCATAGACAGTCTGAGTGTGAGGGAAGTGTCGAGTCTTCAGGGTCTCAATCTGCTGCAGGAAACACAGAAAACACCAGCTACCTCTTTTTCGCTACACTAAGAAAGGTTTTAATGAGCAGCTTCATGTCCCCAGTGGAGATCCATGCTGCCATGAAAGCTACTCTATTTCTGTTCCTTTTCATCCTGCTCTCCTCCCTCAGACCTGACATTCATTATTCCTTCCATCTCCTCAGAGGCAGAGCAAGGCACGGTAACTTCAACTCCCCCCCTTCAATTGCTGAGTTTACTTTGGATGAACCAAACCTGAGCTTGTGCTGATTCAAAATTCCATCCCACTTGTGATAAATAGTACACATTACACCACATGTCATATATCAGAAACTAATGTAAGTGCTTATCTCTTGTTTCAGGTGCCCACTGATTATTGTTTTTTGTGAACTTAATTTTCATATTAAAATTGCAAAGTTGTTTCACAAAACTCTCTGAAATAGATTAAAGCCTACAGTAGATCCAATACCATATATATTGCTCTTAAGAATATTGAGGAATATGCTTTTTTGCTATCTTGCTTAGAGTTAAAAGAATACTAGCAACGATGGACAATTGAGCATAGTTGTTTCTTGCTACTCCCAATCGTTATGCTAAGCTAAGCTAACAGTCTGCTGGCGAGTGGGCAGAGGAGACTGGAATAAATATTCTAATCTAAATCTCGGCAAAAAAATGAATGAGCATATTCCCCACAATGTCGACCAATTCTTTCAAAGCATTTGTGAATTATATTGTGCAGGGATCTTTCTTGTTAATTGTGTTTCTCTTCATCTCATGAAATTATAATAGAGCATGTGCTAAGCCCAGTCAGAGCCATCAGTACCAAGCGTGTCTATGGGAAGGTCTGTAAAGCATGGCCACTTCATATCCTTCTCTGCGGCCCACTGTGTGACGGAGTATTGAATTACAGACCAGTTAAGGCAGTGGCTTGTAACTGGATAAAAGAGGAGAGTGTAGGGGAGGAAGGCAGAGGGCTGCCTTGGTGTCCTATAAATGACATTGTAATTCTGTGAACATGGGTTTTAGTGTAGTCAGCCACCATTAGCGGAAGAAGGAAAAAGGGAGGTATTTTTGCCACTTTACCTAGCCAAGCATCTCTAATGGTGTGTGTGTGTGTGTGTGTGTGTATATATATAGTCCACTCTGTCTGAAAGACTCCCTCTACCTCTATTCCTGTCTGCGCACTCAAAAAGAGACAAAGCCTTTACAAGGACTGGCGCTGATGGCAGAAACCCCGCATTGGCACTTGCAGCTATATTCTTTCACAAGATCAGATTAGTAATATTTTTCTGTCTAACTTAAAAGTCCCTGTTTTGTTTATGCTCCAATAAACTATTGACTCCTACCCAATATCACAACATGGCTTCTTGTTCTACTGAACATATATATGCATAAAAGTCACCAATACAATACATGTATCCATAACAGCATCAATCATTCACATGTAATGATCTGTAAGCAGTGGGAGCTGAGTGTGCAATGTGTCTCGGGCGAGGGAGAGGGACTGTGCTTAAAATATTTTTCTTAGATGTCAGGTTAGTTCATGCAAATTGCAGATCAATAAAGCAATGAAGACACCAGTCAATCATTAAGTCAAGCTGCAGAGCCCTACAGAGTGACCTAGTTTGTTTTTTGAAATTCTCTGCTGTGTAAACCAACCTGAGAGACTGCCGCTTCGCTCTGAGCTGTTGTGAGAGCTGGTGGTGCTGAAATCTTGTGATTGGTTGTGTGGGATTCTATTAGACAATCCTTCGGCCAATCGGTAGTCAGGTATGAAAAGGAGGGCTACAGTGGGGGTTAAAGGGCAGAAATCACAGTGGCATCAGGTGATTGGCAGTTAGCACAAGCACATGCAAACATGCAGTTAGAGCATTTAGGCAAGCAGGATATATTCAGGATTGAAACATACACCAGGGAGCACATGTTCAACCTTTCACTCCCTTTCTGATTTGCATGCAACCGACTGTGCATTGGCAGGACACATTTGGATGTGTTGATGATTTAAAAAACATAGCGCTAATTTTTGAATCAATTTTCAGTTGAAAAAACGAGTCGATAGCGAAGCTCTTAATTAAATATTTGCACCCCTTCAGAGAGATTTCATCATACTTAATCATATGTGATATTACTTAGAATACAGCCGAGGAATACTCATTACACCTAAAGTATGAAACTCCACTAGGCTTTAAAAAATCCTGCATCAAATCCACGGTAATTCATTTGGATTATTTTATTAAACATTAGTCAAGCTAAAATGGATTGGCAATTACTCGGACACTGAAGGAGGAGTAGTACTATCATGAAAATACAGCAAGAAAAGGGATGGATGACTTAACTACTCCTTCATGAGATGTTTATTCAACCTTGGAAAGTAACCAAGATGATGGCTGATGGGAAAAATTACTATTTTTTAAGACAAACTCCCTGAGCCACAGTTTGTTTAGAAAGGTTACAGAGACTTTGATGGATAAGTTCAAACTCCAAATGGTCTTCTTGTTAAAATGTGTGGCTTTTAACCTGTTAAATCATGTTGTTTTTGATGTAATAGAATAAGAACCATCTCTAGGTAACAACATCCCCGAGATGGCTGTGAACACATGATTTCCGCAGTGTGGCTTACTGTTGTTGCAGGAGTTCTTGTCAGGCAGGGCGTACCCCAGGTTGGCCATCTCCTGCTTGGCCTGGAGGGAGGCCTTCCACTGGGCCTCGGGCAGGTCCACCGCCAGCTCGTGGATGCTGCTGGAGTGGAGAATCTGGCTGGTGGCATAGGGAGTGGCCTGGGATGTTTGGCCAGGGCTGTTGTAGTTGGCTTTGGTGGTGAAGTCTATGCTGCTGTAGATGGCTCCATCAGAGAGCATGGTGCCACTCTTATCTCCTTGCCCAGTGGGAAGATCTGAAAAAGAGAAAAAGTGTGTGTGTCAGGGGGGTTATGTGATAGCTCAGCTGTAACCCTGGAGTAATTCAATACATATTTATTTGCTGATAAATAGAAGAGGGTTAGCAATGTAGTGACATGAGATTCAAGTGCACATGGTCCCGGTGTGTTATGGAATTACAGTCTGATTACAGTCTGGGTGTTTGTGCTTTTAGGTCAGCTCACATGATACAAACCGCACGTAACAGGTTTGTTTCATCAAAACAAACAATAGAATCCCAGTTAGATTTCACGTGCTTCCTTTCTCTGTTCATAAACACGGGGGATTATGCTGCGGCTCTGCATGTGTGTGTGATGACAGAGGAAGGGAGGGAGGGAAAGCTAGGGAGAGCAGACTCTCCTCATGGCGCGTTTGCATGCCCAGTGAAGGGGAGATGATGTAGAGCCATGGCGGAAGTGTCCGCATCTGCGCCAGTCAAGCTGCGCCTGTCCTTCACGACTGGCTGCTCAAGACCATCCTTTCAAACACCCGCCCACCCCCTGCTCCTCTGCCGTCTCTCCCTGCACATTCCCTCGATCTGAGGTATGGGCTATGACACCAGGCTGGACTGTTTGCCATTACTCAGCCTGGTGACAGGGGAGGCCTGCTGTTAATGCTCTAGCTGTCCTCTGATGTGATATATAAATATATACCCAGGCACACGTGTGATATGCATATGTATACATCTTGGATACATGATGAAGAACAGGAGCTCACGTAGAACAGAATGGAAGGCAGGCCATCATCTTTCATCTCCTAAAGTCTTTTTATCAGAGCACCTTGGGAAGCACCGGGGCACTTACCTCCTCGGCCAAAGTTACTCAGGTCATTGGGTCCCCCGGAGCTGCTGTTGACTGGCAGGCTGGTGGCAGGCCAAGAGTCCGCTAACCAGGGGTAACCTGGGTCACTGGAATTTAGCAAGCCCGGCCGGCTAGGCAGAAACAGAGGGTAAAAGACTAGATTAAAATGAAGCTGTGAAATTACTATAATATGTACAAAATAACATCCCTCATTACTTATCGTGCATAGTTTATTTCTGCATTATGTTACAGGATTCCCAAATTAAACAACCAAAACATGACAGCAATCAGCAGCGAGGCAATATGCAGACAACAAAACAAAAACATATATAAACATGTTATTCTCTGCACGAGAATGTGTGTTTGTGTGAGATAAGCTTGCCATAAGCCTCTGAAGCTAATGAAACACTTCTGTGATATGAAGAAATACTGTACGGATACATTTCGTCTCACAAAGTTGGAATTCCTTCAGGCAAACACAGCCCTTTATTTCTCTGTTTCTCCTGCTGTGTCTTTGTCACATTCCCTGAGTTATCAACGGAAAAGCCCACTGTGGAGACACTAATGCATGCATTTGCTCTCAGCACACACGTGCAGCAGTGCACGCTGATACACACACGTACATTTCCTTATTCATTAATATCTTGTACGTTCTGCTGTGTTTTCCCATTAACCCCTCGTGGTGATGTCCAGACAGTCTAAATCTTATTTGATGAGACCTCAAAACTCGTCCCTATCCCCACCATGGTGCCCCCGACCCACTTGTGGGGTGCCTGCATATGGTAGAGGGCAGTGCCATTTAACAGGTGTTGTGTCCCTCCTGAGGGGGTGAGAACCATAAAAAGCAGCCATTAAGACTTTAACCTGTCATGGGTGACTGCTGAGAGGCCATTAGGACCACTTTACTGTACAATCACGTCTGAGGCTCGTTACCATGGATAACACAGATGGAGTTAAATGAGAATGAGAGATTAGGTTAAATGTCTTTGTCTCTGTGTCAATTCCTTGAAACATCATAACCTATTTTCTTTCATTTACTATCCATTGACATTATTGACATGTAACAGAAATGTAACAATGTATGATTGAATTTTACATTTTAAGCAGCCAAATACTTCCAACAAAAATATCAAAGGAGTTTTGCTGTCTCTTTTATTCATTTTCCCGTGAGAAATCACACAACGGTCAGAGCAGCACTGCATGTGTTGAAGCTGATGGCCTTGCCTCCACAGAATCACAGCACACCCCGCTGTCAGTGCCCGGCAGTGCTGTATGTAGCAGACTACAGATACACATGTGCACTCTGAGGAGCTGCAGAGCACAGTAGTTAGCAGCCTGGCTGCCTAATGGGGCTTTTTGTCTCAGCTCCAACAGGGTGACGTGTTGGCTCTGGGGGACTGGGAGAGAGTCAAGCCCTAAGGACAAGAGCAGGTAATGGGTGCGCTGCAGTCAGTTTTTCCCTCAGCCACAGGTTCTAATGAGAAGAAGGGGGAGTCCAAATGAACTGCAGCCCTGGCAAGCCCTCGCTGTGGTTCCTGAATGCCAAAACAGGCCCTCGGGGAGACAAGTCATTCAAATTGATGGCTGTGCATCAGACACATGCACTTTTATAGGGTAATACATCTCTTCCTGTCCTTCTACCTCTGTTTCTTGCTACCACGTTTCCCCACTGCCATCACTCTCTCTCGCCTTAACATCTTTCCCTAACCCTATTTCCCCCTTATACATCCAGCTCCTCTTTCTTCTATCCTCCACATTTTCAAAAGCTCAATATCTGTCATATTATAAATTCCAAAGAGCTGGAAAAAAAGGGATATACAAAAACACAAATGAAAACCTTCTAAAGTAGAAGACCATGTCTTTGTCTTGTCTCAACGCGAGTTATCCCCTTAACCCACCCCCGTATAACCATAGGATATTTAGAATGTGACTGATTACTACTGGGTATTTATATTTATAAAGGGTGTGTGTGAGTGTGTGTGTGTGTGCACGGATGTGTGTAATGGGGAGTGGATGGGGGATGTATGCTGTGTCATACATCTAATGAAAAGTCAACACCTAACTTTTAATCTCTGCCCAACCCAAGATGGATGGCAACCTTGGCAGATAAAATTTGATTTAGAGCGTTTCCTCTTCCTATTAGACATTCCAGTTACTTGCGATGGGTTGGAAACCATAAATACTGCTGAGGATGCCTGACACTGAGCTTTCCATAAATAAGCCAAGTGAGAGATATGAATTCCAAAGCAACTTCATAAATCAGGTGTTTATGGTCATACGGACTAGTGAATGGAATGTGGATTAAAAGTCTAGACATTAGCTAACACTTAGCCCAATGAGAAACACTGATTACTTTTTAGATGAACTCTCAGAGATCATGCTGTTACTTAGCATTCAGATCCTGAGATGTAAAGGAATCTCCATAGCAACAGTTTTAGTAAAACCTGTTCGCTGCGATGCTCAGCCCATTTTCCCTGCCTATAAAAGGGCTCTGCTTTGCTAAAACATTGATCAGTGCCGTGGTATGAAGTTATTTCTACCTCTCATTACCATCTCCCTATTGGCACGGGATAAGGAATGAGCCTTTATCGGCTTTTATCAATTTCAATTGAGCAGCCAAAGTCAAGCCGTCCAGGTCTACCAATCTGCAGCCTATTCATCTTCCATGAATCATTTATTTTGTGATCGATTAAATGTAATTGTTCAGTCAGGGCAATTTGGCAGGAGCCAATGAGAAACTGAAACCAGACGCGGCTTCATTTGCTATTGTCTAATTAATGCAATAAACATCTCATGTAACAAATGAACACATTTTCCTCTGATTCTGTGCTACACATTCTCACTCTCAGGGCAGATGGGCAACTGGCAACATCTGGGATTTGATGGCACTAGAGTGACTAATGGATCAGAGGCTCGTGTTATAGTTCCAGACTGAGTGTTATTCCAGTGCTGTGAAAGCTTTGGCAGTCGCTGCAACTGACTAAAGATATGACAAATACAGAGCGCCACAAATACAGACATTTCAAATTCTATTCAACGGAATGAGAACCAGAACCACTTCAGTGGAAAATTGAAGGAAAAACACTGCAGCAGAAAGTAGATGAGAAAAGGCATGGCAAGTGGCGTGGTTAATTGATTGAGAGCATGCAGGCAGCTCACAGAACAATATACGCAAAGTTGTTCATTGTGGACTCCAGTCATACACACAGTAAGAGAAAAAGCATAGACATACAATTCTGCAATCAGACTGCAGAACACTCTCAAAAAGCCAAGGCACGCGCAGGGTGAGACTCAGTTGGCAATCTATCCACGAGTGTTTGAGATCTGGAGGCTTTACCTAGTCAGGTGTGATAAGCAGTAGATAGACAGAAGCCTGGAAATCTCAAGGGAGTCTCTTGAATACTCAAAAAAGCTCAGTAACTGGTGTCATTGAGATGTGCCCAATTCTCTGTAGCCCGTCTCTCTCTCGCACTAACACACAGTGAAATGGAGCAGGCTGTAAGGGGGTGCAAGCGGGGTACCTCCACACACCTCTCCCCTGGGTAATTATTTTTACATTATTACATGTGCTCAGATCCCAGCCGCCCACGCAAGGTGACAGGCAAATTTATCACTCCAGAGAGCTTCTGGGATGCCGGTAGCTAGCAGCAGAAGATAAATTACAAAATAAAAGCACTCTCTGCTTAAATTGTTTCTGTTAATTCTGCTGAAGAGATTTATGAGTTCATCTATCGATGCATGAAAGGGAGATGTGGTAGAAATGTATATTTGCACGCAGGTTTGCATGGCAGGCATACAAACAGCTATTGGATATATATCAATGAATCAGTCATTTATCAGAGTAACATCAAATAAAGTATGCTTTGGACTAAACACATGATCCGTGAGGAAATGTTGTGTTGAGAGATGTAGAGCTCAGAAAAGAAATAATAATGGGAATTTGTATATATTGCATTCAAATGATTGTGGTTGTTAAGACTCTGAAGGGACACTCACCTTCCATTGCTCATCAGACCACCATCGACTCTCTGGAAAGTCACTACAATCAGAAAAGAAAGAAGAAAAGAGGGAAAAAAACAAAGCCAAACATTAATTATTTATTGTAAATACATAGCAATCAACCAGGATTCATTCCCATGATCAAGATGAGATGCAGTTTCTTTTCAGTGTGGTCCAGTTTGTCCTTCAACAGAAATGTATTAATTTGTTCTTTTTTAAATACAGCTAGATAGTTGATGGATTCACTAAGGGATCCTTCTGCGTCCGATGTCTTTCATGAACATTACAAAAAAAAGGTGCAATGATGAGAATTGCATATTGCTTTGCTCTGCATAAGTAGAGACGTCATGTGCTCCTCAAGGACAAGATGCCTGATGAGAAGCAAAACTCATTTCATCTTTCTTATTTTGCTGCTGAGTTATTATCAGATTTGTGATTAAATCTCAGCCAAAAAATGATTAGAACAGGCGGAGGGCTCATTAATCACGTTGGGTTTTCTATCTGCAAGCATGGAGGCTGAGTTACTGATCCTTGGGCTTGCAGGGCTCCCCACAAGCCATGCATGTGGCCTGTTCTATTACAGTGATCTATAGATAACAAGGCCCGCTCTCTGTCAGCGGCTAGTAAAACTCCATGGCTCAAAGTGAGAGACGGCTGTGAAGGATCCATTTCATCTCTGTTCAACCACCATGATGACAAAGCAGCATCGCGGGTTCTAAGCATGTAAGAACTTCAATGGATCACAGGCAAGCAGAAAGAGTTTTGGAAATCACCTCATGTGGGGGGGAAAGAGAGGAGGGAAAAAGAGAACTGGTTTACTGAACAGAGAGAGGGAGCGCTGTTAGTAATTTGGCTCATTTGTTCCACAGATGTAGATTAAAGAGAGAAGGGGGCTGAACATCCCGCCTCTCTTTCCTGTTTCATTCAGGTTGATTCCACAACAAGCCTAGGCATGGGCAAAAGAGGGGGCTTTTCTGTGGCTGACGTCACAAATGACAGGGAGAGGAAGCTATTACAATATTTTACAGTGGCTGCTAAATAAGTATTTTAATGCATCAACATGACCTTAAGCTTGTTTAATCCTACTTTCTCTCTCATGAACAAATGTTTTGGGTGTTAAACAAGAGACACCCATATTAAAAAATGTGTCTAGTATGCGTGCCATAACAGTTGATGTGGATTTACTGCATGAAGCTTTAAGCAGCTGAATACCAGCAAGTGGAATTACAAAAATGTACTGCTAACAAAGCTTTTACTCAGATAAAACCAACATTGCAAGAGTGCCTGAATAAAAATAGCTTTAACAGCTCGGGACAGAGTTTGCATCCATTATTCAGTCATAGCAAAAGCCATTTCTCTTTGTTCCAGCACCAACAAACTTGCATTAGAGAATTCTCTGTGGTTTCAGAGAGGACTGACAGGAGAAGGAGGTGGGGGCGAGGGGGGGCTGTGCAGCGGGGAGGCCTCTGAAGTCCATATCTGTGCTCAGGCACATTTCTGGGCTGCTGTGCAATACTTTTATGTTAGCCAGAGTGACACGGTGGCATAGCTGTGCTTCTCGCCTCCGTCTTCCAGATAAGCACTTTCTCCAATATGAATACAGATTAATCCCCTTTAATAAGCATTAGGGGGGGGGGGGGGTCATAATCAGCGTATAACAATTCCATCAAATCTCCTTCCTGCTGGACGTGCGCCTCAACAGTGTGTTGATTTACCTTTCCTGTACTGACAGCTTTAGGAGGCTGAGACAGGACACTCTAGATACATCAACTAATTGTCAATACAGAGAAGAGCAGCGCTGCAAGACTCTTCACCCGCACGCTGGCTCAGGTTCCAAATATCACCTCACTCTAACTCTATAATCTCTGCAATATTTGACCTTGTTTTGTGCCTGCCACTCTAAACTCTTTTAGTGTAATTACCTACTTCCTCTCTTGCTTCTCGGAGCTGTGCCTCCTTTTTTTTAACCAGACAAGTTTCACTAATGTATTAATGTAATATCTGTTATCACAGCTGCTGAGGAAAGGCCAGAGTGAATTGGGTTTTTTCGCCGTAGGCTCAACAGGGAACACGTATATGCTTTACCAAAAAACTATATTAGTTACGTTTGTCTGTTAATCCAGAAAACAGAGGGAAGGGCAATTTGCTGACCCCTGACTCATTGCACCACGCCTATCAGCAACACTGATACTATACATTAGAAAGGCCTCTAGGCAGAAACAACCTTTTATTTAGTTTAGTCTTACAGTAGATAGGCTGTCAGTCAACTCCATCCACAGACAGTCAATGGATGCTTTTAACACTGAAGGGTGCCACTCAAAACAAACAATTGGCACAAAAATAGACAAAAGGAAAGGGGGGAACAAATCAAATATACCACTCAGCTGCCTAACTGACACAAAAGGAGAAGAATAAATACAAGTTACAACACGATCCAAGTCTTAGAAAAAAAAGAAAGATGAATAGGTTATTGGAGGAAGAGAACAAATGGGCAGTGTCACCGTTTGACCACAAGACAAAAAAAGAAACACAAGAGACAGGATGATACTTCAGAGTCCACAACTGACAAAAACACAAATACAACACAATAGATAAATAAGGCTGTATGCCAGTTTGCAGGCCTCTGGTCATGGCTAATAGCAAATCTAGATTTATTTGACTTGTAAATGTGCTTGTCTGGTTGTATAAAACGCCTTCATGGTTATCGAGTTTAGATTTCCATTTAGCCATGACCACGAGTCTCACAATCCAAGCATATAGACTATAAGCGGGCAGGAGATGAATCTGCGTTGAGGGGAGGTGGGACAAATGAACAGTACCTGCAGGGGTGAAGGTGAAGGACTGAACTGCAAAACAAGAAGACAGAGAAGGTGTGTGTTAATAGCCTGCAGAAATAAGCGGTGCTTTAGGGGGTATAATCTGCCCACTGGGGACCGGGTCAAGCCAAGAGATGCTGAGGGTCACAGAATGTAAGACTACATTATCACCCAGTGTGCAGAACGACAGCCAGGAAAGCAGCCAGCTCAGAGGTGCAGAGACGGTGGCACAAACCAAAGACAACACACAAACACATAAATGCAACAAACAGAAATGAAGAACAAACAAAACAGCTTCTAGAGACTGCCAATCGGAATAGTCTTTATGGCTTGAAATGATAAGAGAAAGTGGCAAAACAAATATGTTTTTCTCTTGATTTCTGCTAGTTTTGAGGCAGGATGTTAACATATTCGGTTGCACTGCCTATAACATTATGTATCAGTTCATTACCATGTTCTGCTCTCTAATTAAATACTGTGCCCTTGGCGGTGCATGTGGACTAAGTGGTTGCTAGTATTGACTGGGGGTCAGTCAGTAAGACGTCGGGGTCTGTGTGTGGGAAGAGAGCTGGACAAACTCCAGCTCCAGTGACCAGCAGAGAGTCCAGTCAGCCCACTCAGCTCGACCACCCTGGGCTATGAACCAACACCGTGGGTGGATTTGTGGAAAAAACTATAGCCCTCTGGAAATGATTCACACCGACATCTGTCTCCTTGTTGAGCTTTTAAACCGTAGCAATTCCAACCATACTGCTAGCAACTGCTTTAATGTTTTAGCAAAACTGAACTCATTAAGACTGAGTGATGATCGAGTAGAAGTAAAATCATCTTAGAAAGAAAACCTAAATGAGATGAATGGTAGAAGAGTAGTCCATTGTTTGATGGGGATATAATAAGAGCGTAATGTCAGTCTCACCTGCGTAGTTGCTCAGACCCTTCCTCTTCTTTCTCCTCCAGTACAGCCAGATGCTGAATCCCATGAGGATGACCCAGCAGGCTCCTCCAATACCAGCAATAAAGGCAGGTTGTTTCACCACATCAGTGATCTGTTCTGTGATGCTGTTGTTCCGGTTTCCATGTATAATGACGTCCCGGAATTCTTTACCTGAGGGCACAAGGATAAGCAATGTTAATGGGATGCTAAGTGGATAGCTAGAGAGAACCAGAAAATAGCCATACTGATGTGCATGTTTTGCTGGTTTAGGTAGGTTCTAATTATCACATCCAACCCTGCATTAACGAAGGGCATAACACATGTTTAGATTTTTAACTGAGCAGAAATAACAGCCAAAGATACATCAAGGCAGGGTAAGGGCAAGAGTCAGCTCAAAGAAAGTAGGTTGGATGATTTTGGAGATATTGTTGAAGGGAGCAAGACACAGATCTAAAGGATGTGCAGTGAAATATAATGCTTTGACTGAAAAAGACAAAGCCTAAAAGCTTATAACAAACCCCAAGGTGAACAGGTTGCTTGCTTAGCTCAGCCCCTAATTCACTCCATTGTCGGTAAAACACACCGTGTGAAATAAGAGGATCCCGGTCTGTATTGATCTCCAATTGCAGCTCAACGTGACTGCTGCGCTTGACACTATTTCTCGGAGCGTGATAAGACTCAAGCAAAAACAAATGTTCCCACACACTGACAGGAAATGATAAACACTCATGAAATCTACATATCATGTGCGCATGCATGCAAAGCTGCACGAATGCTCGTCAACTTTATATAACTGTGCAACCACATGAACACACACCCATTCGCGCATCCACAGACACGCCAACACACAAGATAATATAAATCCAAGCTTGAGGCTCGGCTCTCGGAGATGGATTATGTGAGTGACACTGGGGAAATAAGAACATGCTACAGGCCAAGCCATCAGTTATGGGTCAAATCAGGCACAATCTGCCTCAGCTCCACATAAATCATTTGTGGTCAGGCCACATTTCAAAAAAGTGGTATTTTAACAATATTTTCCATATGGGAATTTCTAGAATTTCATGAAACCATTCACAATATTTTCTTTCGCTGAAATCGACCAATTTGATTTTTTTTGCGAACACTGATGTTGACGTAGGGGAAAAACTTGGATGTTGAAAAGTTGAAAATGCTTTTTATCAATCGTTCTTACCGATGCTGATAGACTGAGCTTCACTCTTCACTCCAACCCCAGCGCTTGTGCTTGCAGCCACCTCTACACGGTATACCACTCCAACTTGCATGCCGCCAACCACCACTGAGCGAATGGCTGCGTCCACGGTTTTATTTACATGGAAACGTGTCTCATTCCCTAGACACCAGATCTAAAGAAGAGAAGGGGGAAAAAGACAGACAGTTGATTCCATTTGTCCATATATCAGTTAAAGAGAATCCAAGCGGACTCGCTGAGACAAACCTTGTACTCTTGGATGATGCCATTCTGATGGTCTGATGGAGGGGGGTCCCACGAGATGCTAATGGAGGTGCTGTTCTGGCTTCCCACGGTCAGGACTGTAACCTGCTGAGGAGGGGCACTGGGAGCTGAAAAAGGGCAAACAAAATAAAGAGGTCAACAATCAAATGCACTATTATGGTGCCCAGGCAGAACACGAGTATGTAGGAAAAGTGGGATGCACAGCAGTATTGTACATTTGCATGGAACAGGACCTCATACATATATACGTAGAAAAGCACATACATAAAACCAGACTCACACACATACACACTTTTCCAAAGAATGTTTCTGTTCTGGGATTTCACAGGTGGCTGGAGGCTGTCAAGATGTCTCATTAGAGGGGGATTTACATTAAGACCAGGGCAGGTCTGACATGAATATAGCCTATCTTTAACGTTTCACTATGATTTAATATCTCATCCTCTGCTCCAGCCTGGTGGATTTTTTCAGACAATACCGGTATTGATTTGTGGAATGACGGACTGGCACAGTCAGGCAAGTGCTCTCAGTCAATGAATGAGCAGGGCAGCATGCGGGTCAATGAGCTTAAAGGATGAAGCTTGGACGAGAAGGAAATATGAAAAAAAATTACATTTTAGGGGAAGGAAACAAAGTCTCAGTAAACATATTGACTGGTTCCATCGATCAGCCAGATGAAACTAAAGCCAGTAGGTAAGGATCAGAGGGAAGCTTCAGAGCGAGGCACATCTAAATGAATCAGCTTTATCCACAGGCAGACACAAACAAGACAAGTCCATGCTTTCATAAACCTCACTCTGTTGTTATTCTGATGGCTACAATCTTTTGACCCCACAAGGTGTAACACAGGGAAAAATAAATAACAGTTGGCCCAGCTGGAAATAACGCTTTAAAAATAATGTTTTCTCATTTCCGCAGTGGCTGGCAGGGGAGCGGCACCACGGCAGAATACTGACAGGTCAATTACTCCTGGGCTGCCTCTCCCTCACCTCGCCTCCATCCAAATGGCACGTGTCACCCTGTAAATCTGTGCTCATCCCTCAGCACGATTGGCCACACCGGCCCCCAGAGAGACAGAAGGCCCTGGCATGGCTGAAGATGAATGGGTCCAATGATGAACCCAACACCTTGGCCAGATTAGAAACTATCTACCAAGGGAGCATCTGATCAACCATCATGCTTAGGGCTCTCCAACGCTGCATTACATCCAGGTGACAAAGTGCTGGATTGGTACGTGGCAGCAATCAGAGGCAATGTCGTTCAAAGTTAATGTTATGAATGATTTAACAGCTTATTATCATGCATATTTGTGCTAAACAATACACATTTTTCAATAGAGGCCCCAGAGGCTGTCCTAATAGAGCCATTAGCAGAGTGATGTATGGCAGGCAGGAATGTGACCCCCCGTCTCTCACACACGCAGAGTGCTGTGTTGAATTATGAAGTAATATAAACACATCATATTAAAAGCCAATAATGATATGGAAAACGGTAAGATGTGTGGGAGGACACCAGTGGACCTCCCGCAAAGATATTTGTCAAAAAATGTGTCATTTACAACAACATCACTGTATTCTTTCCCCATAAATAAGCATAGTTTTGCATAAAAGATGGGCCTCCTTTGTGAGAATCATTAACCAAGCGACCAGAGTACATTTATCAGCTATGAGATGACTGTCCAGATGGAGAGCGAGAGAATGTGTGAAAAAGGAGGAGGGAGTGTACAAAGATGGACAAAGAATTGAAGCGCTGAGCATACTGTAACCCTGCATCCGTCCGTACCTGCTCTGGGGATTATTTAATTGTATTAGCTAATGGACAACCTAAGTTTTAATCACCCTCTGACCAAGACTTCACTATCCATCTAGCTGCCCTTCTTAGTAGTCCCAGGGTCTCTGAGGAGCCTAGAGCTGTGTGTTTGACAGTATATCATCTATGACCAGGGAGGGCAGTGGGGTTGTGACAGAAATAGAAAGTGGTTGGGCTCTCTGAGGGACTGGGATGCAGATAGAGCAGAAGCAGGGAGCATTATCAGCATTGGTAATAGCCGGAACATGCAGGTTCTGGAGGGCTTCGGGAGAGTCGGTGTGCTGGCATGTATGCGTTTTCTGTTTGTGTGTGTCAGGGACAGCTGTAACGTGATGGCAGTTCCACTACAACAGTGCGTGCACTGGCTGGCCACAGGAGATACTGTCCCTCTGAGAAAGGGAAAATAAATGGGCCTGTCACATGGACAGGATGTGAACTGTTTCTTATACATGCAGGGCTAAATATGTTGTGGCAAGATGGGCTTTGTCTTCAGTATATGGAATCTGTATTTATCTCTTTGTGCTTTAGTGTGCATGTCCTGTGTTTATTTATTTCAGATCACATCATAGTTTAAATTCAGTTATTAGACTCGAAGGATGAAGCAGGGCGTGTGCAGTGCTGCTGGATGCATTTCTGCTTTGGCATCGGTCAAAATAGTGAATTCATTAAAACACAGACCTGTGTGTGTGTTTGTGTGTGATATTGTGCCACGCTGCTTTGTGGCCTTGTCAGAGCCTGTATGTATCATGCTTTGGGCGACAGATCATCTTCGCAGAAGGAAGTGTGTGTTGTCTCCAATCACAGCTCAGGCCTGTGGCTGCTGGGTGATGGATTAGAAGAAGTTTGGCAGTAACACCACCAATCATACACAAAAAAAGCACAGCAGGAAGGTCAGACCGACAGGCACAAACATGCAGACACACACACATGCATTCACATACACCCTCAATAGTCTTGAGTTTTAAAAAAGAGGGGCAGTGCTGCCTGTGATACTATGACAAAAACCAACATGAAAGGAGCCTACAGGGTCATGTGTCATTCCACATTTGTGTACACTTTGTTGTATTGCTCCCAATATAATGTAAAAATATTCAGTATTTTTTCTTCATACCTTCTTCAGTCGTCCGCGCTGTTCTGGATTCACTGTCCATGCCTTGAAACTCATTGAAATAAGGCCGGACCTTGATCTCATACACAATGCCCTTCTTGAGTGCAGAGAGGACAACGCTGCGCTCAGAAGGGACCTTCACTTCCTGCATCTGCCAGGGTCCAGGGGAAGGTAGTCCTGAGGTCTGCCTGTACAGGACTCTGTAACCCTGAATGAACTGGGACTGGCGATCCACCTTAGAAAGTGAATAATGACAAGATGAATGTTGTATTCCAGTTCAAAAATAACCGTTCAGAGGAAATTGGTAGATGCAATCTTGGGCCAGCCACTAGATAATAAAAAAAAGATGTTTTCCAGGCATGTATCTCTCTCTCACAAGATTGCATTTGTGACAGTTTAGAGGCTGTTGCTTGTTTAATAGGCCCTTTATCAACAGCGTTGACACAATTAGCTCAATTAACACTCTGACATTACCTCATACACCCTGCTCCCAGCCCAAAGTGTTCCCTCATCTATTAAAATACTTTCTTTAATGCCACCTTAAAGGACTTACACATGTCCCATAAGCATTATAAATTCTAACTAGTGACACAGGAAAGCAAGTCCCATCACATTTTAGTTGGGCTCTGAGGCTGAGGATGTTTATGCAGCACCATACACAGATACCTTGGGGACATGAGGGGCACACACAGCAGTGGTGATAACAGCAGATCTGTCCCATAGAAAAGATGGAGACGCTGGAAACCTGATAGCCCCTTGCAACCCACAAAGGACCCTCCCTTAAAACTTGGACCCATTTAGCTAGACAGAAAATGCTGAATTTATGCGGAGGAGGAGCGGGTGCATAACTCTTTGTAATGGCTTGTTAACAGTAGAAGAAGTGAGCATGGCTTTCAAGTGGGATATTAAGCAGCTGTTTTTCGCAAGTGTAGCCAGAGTAAATCAGCAAAATGGATCCCCTGCTTGGTGCGTGACTTTTATTAATGGAATGATTTGGGAATATAAAAGCTCTCTGAGAGTGGCCTCTCTGTTTACTGGCCCCTGATTGATTAGGTAGCCATGTTTTGTGTCGATTGTACACTACAATCATAAAGCAATGCTTTAGTATTACATTTGCTAACAAGTCGTGGGGTAAGACTTATTACAGGGGTCAATAAACATGTCACCAGGAAAACAGCTAATGTGGTTCATTTGGAAATGGAAACAGGCACCCTATGCCACTATGTGATAGGTGTATACTGTAAATACCTGCGAGTGATTCATAGCCCCATGAGGAAAATATATGAACACATTGTAAGACCAACTCAGCTTTGAATAATATAAATAGCCTTTTTACCTCATTAGCATACAATGAAATAAAAACAATTTTAGCAGATGCCGTAGCTGCCTTGTTTAAGGTAATAGTTTGATTCATGTTGTGAGGAAAACATCACAAAACATGTGCATATGATGGTGAAAGAGCAGATGTATGTTTGTTTGGTTTGCATTTATGAGTGAGTGAAGATTAATGCATCATCTCCTGACGGTAGGAAAACAGGAAAATGTGTATTCACAAACATTAATTCCAATCAGATGCTATCCATGCAAGGCCTCTGTTTTCAAGGGAAGCAGCTGAAGACAAACGGAAGATTGATGAACAACCAGATGTCTCTGACATCTCTTTTGATGTGCAATGTGGTTAAGAGAAAGTATTTTTCAGCTATTTGATGTTCATTTACTTTAAGTCACAAATTACAGTTTTCAAAGCTGCAGTCTAAGGGAACAACCAGACTGAAATGTCCTGACATAAGAAATGGTAGCCTCGAGGTACACCTTTTTGTCTTCAAAGGGGATCCTAAAATATAAACTTGACTTTATGACTGGAATTTACACCATCAAACATGAAACAAAGAATGCAGACAGGTTCACAAAACTGGTCTGATAGGAAGACAATGTAATTCAAAGTTCTGCTAGTGCAAAAATGTAAAGCTGAACAAATGATGTATTTACTAAAAGTGAAGAGTAAATTGTATTCTACATGCAAAAAGAAAAGCTCCACTTACCGTCCATGTGACCTGAATGGATGTGGGACTCAGTACAACCGGGTTGTGCAGCCGAACTATGACCTCACCAAGCTCCTTCTGCACATGTCTGTGGTCGACACCCTGAGCAGGAGGACTTATATCTATGAGAGAAAGAAATGAAAATGAGAAAAAGAAAGAAAAATATCAATGTTTTCCACTCTCCTCTACTAGTTTCTAGCTTCATCACCATCAGGGGTGGACTGGTAAAAAAAGAGTGACTGAATAGACCAATTGGTTTCAACACAGAATAATACACTTGGTGATCATGACTTTATTTGAAATAATAAAGCTGCTGTCTGGTTTGTAGAAAATAAAGCAGACTTGGGCTGGCAGAGTTCTTCAGATGTGTGACTTGTCTACACTTACTGGGGCCTGACTGAACAACCGCATCAACAAATTAACTGCGAGTGAGCAGAGCCAGACATATTGGATGGGACATGAATGGACACTATGACACTATTTTCCAGCTCATTTCCCGTTTTGCACATGTTTCTAGTTATAAGCAATAAAAACTCCACTGTATGAGATTGTGAGTGTGGTAAAAGCGAGGCACATTTTGAGTTATTTACTAAAGGGAATATAAATACTCAGAAATTATGATTTCAAAAAACTTCATTCAGACAAACCAGCATGGTCATGAATCACAGGCTACATTCCAAGGTCAAGACAGGCCAAAAACAGTTAAAAATAAGTGAAAAACCATTGTGTCATCAATGCATGCCATCGTCAACTCATTTCTATATCATCTCAAATCTTGACCTCAGCACACCAAGGATGTGCTGCAATTCAAATTTATATATTTTACTTTTCTTGGCTTGAATTTGATAGAGCTTGGCCAAATGTTGTTATTTTCTTCTTCTTTTTTTGCCAGGGACTTATCATATCAGTGTAATCTGGAGACCGTGGTCTGTCCAGTATCGTAATCAAATCTTCTCTCGATTTGGAGGCAGTAATTTTCTCCAGTTATGATCATTAACATAGCAGGGATAGACAAACTCAGTTAGGCCTTCCAAAAGAAGAGATGCTTATTCCACATAATTGCTAAAGTGTAGCCTTAATGAGCTGGGCTGAGATGGAGAATTTGACCTCTGGAAAGTTCTCTGCAGTGTTTGAGTAAAGCAATTCACTGCAGATTGCTGAGAGGGGTTGATAAGTATCACACTTTGATGCCCCGGCCACACGAGGACGAAAACGGTCGTTTGCGTTACTGTTTAGTGTCATATAGACCGTTCGGCCACACGAGGACGACCGAATACGGCACTAAACGACTGCGTAAACGATAACGGGTCCCAAGGTGGATAGAACGGCATACGCAACGCTCTGGGGGGTCCAACGGCTCCGTGTGTACGCCCTATACGATAATTTTCTGATAATGATGAGGCAATAGCCCCGCTTCTCCCCACCTCTGCTGCTCACCCCCGCGTCAAAGTAAACTGCACACTGAATTTAGATTATTTATCTTTCTCTCGATATGGACATAAACGCGAGTGAAGTCTAATCTGACAGGACGGAGACACGCAGCTCTGCTCACCTGCAGCTCCTCCCGCTGTGATGCGGCGGTGAACGGAGTAAAACACACTTCAAGTCAGATCATCACCCTTAGATTTTAATTACCTCTCAAACTACCTAAACTAGATATAAATATGTTTATTTTTACTGTCGGCCGAGTCGCTCATTACTGGATCAGCTGCTGCATGAGACAGACACTGACGCTGTCCGAAGAGAGGGAGGAAAAGAGAGGCTCCGTGTATTTTATTATTATAATATATAGATTCGTTATTCATTTGTTTTAAAGCTCAATAAATAACAAAGAAGACCTTTGACCGGCACTTTTATAATTTTGTCGGAAGATTTAAACTTGATTACACGTTGACACGAACAACTCTGCCCGGTTCCCTCGGCCCCCACCGCGGAGAATAAACAGAAGGGCAACCATGACAACCATGCTTCTTCGCTGCTTTTGTGGAGGAAGTTACAGCGCCACGTACAGGCTCCTGCATATGTACTGCAGCTTCTCCAGCGGTTGGAGCTAAACGGAGCGGTCTCGTGTGGGCAGACACTATCCGGATGACTATTGCGTGTTGACGGAAGCTTTTTTGCGATTGCGTTTGCGTTAATCCTATGCGTTTAGCCGTTTTCGTCCTCGTGTGGCCGGGGCATGAAGCAGAGCACACTTGACCTTCCCCTATCAGTAGAAACAGAAATTATACTCATCAAAAGACAAGAATCATATTCTACTAGTTCAAGTGATTATGGTTCTTAAATATATGTATGCAGTAAACACTGAGCATTCATTTCATGCTGATATATGTAAAGTACCTTGTGTTCTGACAGGTTCAGACATGGGGCTCGGATCACTCAGGCCCTGGGTGTTGACTGCTCGGACCATGAACAGGTAGATGGTGTTGGGCCGGAGACCTTTCACAGTATACTGGTTTGTTTTGACATGGTCTGCTACTGTTTGCCAGCTGTTGCTCACCGATTGACTGCAATGGAAGAGGAACATGTGGTTCCATATTAATATTTTAGTTGTATTTTACACGACAAGATATAATTCAACCTGTATACCATTACATACTGAGGGTATTTACAAGTGAGTGAGGGGTTTGATGTTACTCATAAAACAAACCTGAATGCCTCAATGACAAAAGAGGAGACAGGTGATGCTCCTGCCATCCCAGGCTGCCAGGACAAGGACACGCTGTTCTTAGTGACATCAGTGACCTGAGGCTTAGATGGTGGACCTGGAAGCTCCTTCTCATCATGGGTTTTCATGACTATCACTCCTCCTGCTTCTAAATGGAGAGAATAATACAGAAAAGGCCAATTATCTAACGATAAACATAGCTGACATATTCCACATTTTCCTGTACATTAAATACATGGAATAATGACACCATCTTGTACCTTTGACTTCCAGGTAAGCACTCCATGATGTTTCCCCGCTGGAGCTAGTGGCCACACATGTGTAGATTCCAGAGTCTGAAAGCTAAACAGTAGGATACACATGTATATATGAATAAAAAACAAACACACGCACTAACAGCATCAGCACACAGCACTTCATGGCACTACTAATAACCCTTTTAGTGCCATTTCATTTCACACGTCCTGAGAGCACTAGCAATGAATGCATGTTATCTTGCAATCGCTGAAACAATGAAAAGTGATGGGGCGACTTCATGAGCTAGCCTCGTGCTGGCCAAATTGTGTGTCATTTGAGAGTGCCTCAAAGTGCTGACGCTAATTTCCTAATGAATTCCATTTTCTACTCACCACCCTTCCATCACTTTTCTACTCCCCCTCCTGATTTCCCCACTGTCCTGCCGACCACAACAAAGCCAGGCTAATTAATTTAGGGTGGGCTGCTGTAACCCCCTGGACCGATGACAGCTGGCGTGTCTCTCCATCCCTCTTAGGAACTTGGGATGTTTGTTGGTTTTTGTCCCTGTGCCTTCTTTCCATTTATTAAATAACATGTCAGTGGTCGGCAGCTTTGTCAAGCGTAATAGATATTCCATAGAGGCCTCAGAGTGGGGAAAGGAAGATGTGGGCCTTTTAAATGTAATCTACTCTCAACGTGTATGTGTGCACACATGTGTGTATATCTATAAGTGCATACATATATTCTATGCTACAGCTGGAGCCCATCCCACCCTGCACAGCTGAGCCCCGTTGGAGGTGCCCTGCCATAAAGTGATACTATTGAATTATTTGAATTGAAAAAATCAATGCTGCCTATCATCTCCTTTAGTCATTAAGGTACCTTCCTCAAAGTTATGATCAACCCATGTCCTACTCAATTCTACACAATTGAATCTGGCTTGTATGCTGAAGGGTTCGAACAATGACCATACAAATGCATTTACCTGAATACAAATATTGAGTAATAACATAAAGCAAGGTCATTGACAACAACTAGCAAAAGGTAGCTGGTGCTTGAAATCATAGTTAAGCTCTAGTTTTGGACAAAGCTATTTTAATACAGGATTGGTACAGTAGCAGGGATTTATTTGTCAATTTGTTTCACAATAAAATGGGCAATGAAATGTTTTACCTTGATGTTTTTTATCTGAAGGCTGCCCAGCTCCTGCAGGGACATGCGGGCATCCTTTCCCAGCAGACTGACCCCATCCTTCAGCCAGCTGATGGAGGGGATAGGGTCTCCTGAAGCCTGGCACTTCAACAGAGCCACACTGTCCGCACCAAGTGTCTGATTGGACGGGCCTTGGCGAATGATTGGTGGCGGCCTGTCTGTGAGCACTGTGATACAAAGACAGAAATGTGAGCATATTACCAATATCATTAGGATTTCAGATGAAAAGCAGTTTTCAGGCGCCCTAACTGTAAATAAAACGAGTGACAGCATGGTCATAAAACTCACTCGGGATGGATGTGGGTATCTATCATAAAATATCCTTTTTTCTCTGCAGGTCTTGTAATTGTACCACAGAACAATGACCATATCCTGTATTTCCAGGAAGCTTGGAAAACACAGCTGAGTCGTGTTTTTTTAGTTCCATTGATGTGGCAGAGGGATGCTAAGAAGTTTCCAGTTACAGCCTGGTTAGCCTTATTTTTATACATTAATCTAGACTTTGTGGTACAGTTTAGTGGTGAGACTCTTGCCTATTGACTCAGTGTGGTTCAGATAAATACTTCATTGTGTGAAGCACGAGGCACAAGGAAAGGTGAAAAGTATCTACATTTTAACAATAAACAATCAATGACGAACATCCCCTCGTAATTTGTTTTTATTTCACTTTAGATGAATGCAAATGCTGTGATGAATTCCATTTATATGAGCAAATTCATTTGTTATAATGTGCCAAAAAAAGCCTGTGGGTTCCCTCAATGAAATATTGGGTAAGTCAGAGGTGATCTCAGAGAGAGTTAGTGCTCTCGCACAGTTGATATATTTAGAGTTGAATAATGTGGAGTCCCCTGGCATCACAGAAGCCACATTAATTAGAAGGTATGGATTAATGATGTCAGACCTGCAGGGGCTAATTACCCAGTCTACCTCGGTAACCTTTCAACACATTATCACACCCACGTTTCCAACTTGATTTCCAATCTAAGAGGCTACATCTGACAAAAGGAAGTGCTTCCAAGAAAAACCCTTCTGCTATGTTCTGCTCAACCCTTAGCTTTCACATCCATTTCAACAATGATATTTCTCTTATTATTTTAGTCCCGTGGAATGTTTATGTAAGGGTGAAATTTGAGTATTAAGAGGGTCCCTGCGTATCAGAAACTAAGCTATGAATCAAAGCAACTACTGCTTGCCAGTGACACACTATGCTGTAGAAGTGTTTCTGTCTGCTATTGCTTTTACTAACATTTACGCTAGATAAAGGTGTTTTGTTTTGCTTCTATAAAGCCTCAACTTTTATTGTTTGTTAATATATATTTGAAATGAAGACCTTGACTCCAAAGCCTTCCCTGTTGACAGAAGACAGTCAGTTATGAATAGTGACAGAAGCTAGTGCACAAGCCTAAGACATTCCTAAGTCTAGGGATTTGATGCGCCTGATGGATGTGTTGATGGCGTGGAGGAGTGACATAGGGGGAGGGGAGGCAAGGCTCGACTAAGGCCTTGGGTCTCTGGATCAGGAATTTCTCATTACAGATCTCCTTGAACTCCACAGACTGTTGTCTGTGCTCTGGGCAGTAAATCACGTAAGGACTGCGGCAGGTGCGGCCGTGACCTCACCCTGGCCCTCTTGTACTCTTTCCTCCTCTATCCTTTTCTGTCGGACCAACACCTATTTTACTAGCATACTGTTTGTTGGACATACTTATAAAAAAAAACAGAATTAAATGGTTAACTGTTGATAAGCCAGAGTATGTCAATTTAAAAAGTGATGATGTATTATTTCAGGCAACTGAAGGACATACCAATTTAGTTTGTCCAATGGAACCATTCTCACTTCAGAAGAAAATGTTGCTTTTAATCTTTCTGCCAGCAGGTACTTTCAACAGACGTATGGATGGCCCTCGATCTTGCCATCGCAGTAGCTGAGCAGATTAGATGCTCCCACAGCTCACAGGACCACATCATTCATTCCACAGGAAACCATTGTCACTCACTCAATCATGTCCCCTCTCTTTCTGTTTCTCTAGCTCCCTCCCTCTCTCACACTTGCACCTCGCCCACTCATACAAAACGCTGATCATTAAACTTGAACAAACTCAAGGGCAATGCTTTATTTCCTTTCCAAAAGGAAATGTGGAAAATGTTAATTAAATTGTGTCATGAAAAAATAAGGAACAAAGAGAGTATTGCAAAACACAGCAACTGAAGGTCATGGGCATACTGACATCTATCACAGAATAACATCAACAAAAGAATAGTGATGTGGACCTATAGTTTCACAGGGGTTAAGGGCCAAATTCACATATAAACTCAGCATGCAAGAAGTGTGTTAAACCATGAAAAACTATGATCAGATATCATTGAAAAACCTGTATTAAATATTAATTTGTTGATCGTCTAAATGTATTTGTTGAAAGTACCTTACATGCATATTGAAAGTATATCTGTTTCTTATGCACCAACTTCTCCACATTTGCAGTGGTGCTAAGGTGTGTGTTAGTGTGCTGGCTTGGAATAAGTTATGTGTGAGTTTTCCCTCACCATCTGTGACCTCGAGTTGAGCCTTGGCGAGGATACTGCCTGCAACAGTCAGGGCCTGGCAGATATAGTAGCCAGCATCTGCCCGCTGCACAGATGAGATGGTGAGGTCTCCGCCGGGTGACACCGAGAAGCGACTGCTGGGCTGCTGCGGTTGGTTGGGAAAGAGCAAATTCTGCAGGAAGAGGTACAAACAGCTAATTAGTAAGAACATGGATCCAGTACAACCTGGAAATATAACAAAGACCCCCACACATCCATCACCACCACCAAACTCACACATATGCTGTGCACACACACTTCCAGACTATTAGAGCTACACTACGAACCATTTCATATGTCACTTGGTTAACCAACCTCACACACTTCCCAACATGTATACAGTTTGATGACTTGGTTTCAAATGTATTCCTTTGCCAAGCCAAAGGCTCCACTGTGTTATGAAGGCTACTTTTACTCTTGTTGGCTCCGTGACTACTTTCCATTCTGCTTCAATTCCAAAGCAGTTTTGAGCTGCTCTTTTACCCACAGAGACCACCCCATAGAGTTGAGCAAATACTGAGTATAATACAATACTTCTTTAGTATAGCTAAAGAGGAAGGGATAATCAATACCACTTACTTCATAGTAAATACCCAGGATCAAAGGTATTGATGTTTCATATATAAAACATCAGCTCTACATCTTTATTTGCACAGCAGCCACTTTATCCCAGCTCTTTTGTTCAGAAGAATTATCCCCAAAACATTAGCTGTATTTAATTACATTTAATCACTTTAATGCAACAGATGATGCTGTTTTAGTTTAATTAGGCTCATCCCATCTTTAGCGCATGAGAGAGGTACACTCCATTATCCTCAAGTGTGAGAAGAAAAGGTATTTTTGACATTTAATTACTGTACTGAGTTAGATTTGTTTTCTCAATAAATACCTTCATACTTTGTATGTCTGTGTGGCTAAGATACATAAAGCATTCACAAACACAATACAGAGTCAAGTGTTGAATGGTGAGGACGTGCAATAGCTTATCTGAAAGTGTTTGTGGTAAAACTGTTTCAAAAGACTCATCTTTATCGACAACGTGAGACAGACGCTGAATATAAATCTGCTTTATCTGAACAAGTTCACAACAATACACAGTGTAACTGAGTCATGAGCTTTAGGTCAGACATTGTTAAGGGGTAAAGTGGGTGAGAATTACACCAAATGTTTGTGAGAACATGTAAGCATGTGTCTCACTCCTGTTCACTCTTTTAAGATCACTTTACTGTAATTGTTGGCCTGCAGGCTATGAGTGTGAGTTTGAACCTTAGCCAGAGCTGAATCATATCTCTGGCTCATCTACAAGCCCCAACAGGCTCCTAATTGGCACTGCTGTTGAGCGTTGTGAGGACACCCAGGTATTTGAATGGGTTATCTGCTCCAGTGAGGGATAGGATCGTTCTTATCAGTGCAGGGTCACGGGGAAACCGATTAGCACTTTGCCAGGCACACTGCCGTTTGGCGGCTCCTGAGAACAAAGGTGTATATGTGTCTGTAGTAAAGATACCGATGACAGATAGCTTAGTTTGCATTGCTGTGTGTGTGTGTGTGTGTGTACATGTATGGAAGGAGATTCATAAGTACTCAGCAATTGTGCATACAGCCCAGGGAATCTAAACAAAGTGCTGAGGGTTGATCACCAGAAGATAACAGAAGCTGCAGACTAAGAGAGCAATATATTTCTACATGTAAGATATAATGGGAAAAATAAAATATGTTTTCTACAAACTGGGTTGTGTGAGATTGTCTGCTCTTACCTGACTTCCCTCCTTCTGCCAGAAGACAGCAGGCTGAGGGTTTCCTTTGGTTTCACACGGGAAGGTGGCAGTGCGGCCTTGAGCCACAATTTGGTCCCTTGGGCGAATGACAAACTGGGGCGCAGCTGAAGTCAAAGGGCAACAACAACAATGTTAGAAGACCAGTGGTACACAGTGACACCAAACATCAGGGCTGGAGATAATCAGGGCTTGGGGATTTCAAGCAAAGACAAGCAATAAACCACATAGTCAAACAAAGTGGGAGTGCCGTACAGAGCTTCCATGCAGAGGAAGGACACCAATGACAATCATGGCTATCATTGCCATGTTAACCAGGTTGGCTATTCATCCAGGTGGGGCTGAGGCTGAATGAATGACATTGGCAATCACAAGGGACATATTCTTAGTCACAATGGCACTAAGATCTGGGACAACACAAAGGCACACCCATTCCCTGGAATCATACACATCTGTGAACAGGTAAAGACATACAAGGATTCATTGTGTGTGACTTTACATATGTCTGCATCATAATGCATCTCATATAAAAGTCAAGATCTGAAGCAGCACTGTACTTTTGATCAAAGTTGTATTAACAGGGAGTGAGAAACAGAAAAGACCAATTCTGTGTTCACCACACTTCAAGCTAACACCTCTCCATCAAGTAGAGATGGAGGCTTGAAAACATATCAGACTTTGAAATTGTAGTGTGAAGCTTCCTCAGTCAATATTCATCTCCATCATGAGCCCATGCAGTTGTCACACACTCCGAGTCGCGACAGAGTGATACATTTCTGACTGACAAGTTGGCAGATGCAGTTTAATTATAAAGAGAGTGGAGTTCAGAGATTAGATACAACTCCTTTTGGTGTGCAGCTTCGCCTCTCTTTGCTCCCTGACCATTGTCTGAGGTAGGTTATGGAGGCAGCATTACTTATCATTACTCGAACAAACAAAAACTGATCAATCCGAGCGGATAGCTGGGATACTGTATTATAATGTTGTTCTCCCATGATAAACTATATTACTTATTACCATAAGGGATATTAATTTGTATTCATATATAAAATGGTTTATGTCAAGTAATCAAAACCTATGTTATGCCTATGGGTTGGTCACAATACATTGCAGCATCGAAGGAAATAAGTTAAAATAAGTCCAGCTTCAAAACTAGATCTCTGTAAAATACCTGAACTTTGACCGGAGGTAATTTAGACCCAAGACCTCTGCTTGTTTATTCTATACTTGTTGTGTTTACAAGTACCATGTTTGCTAGATGGACAACACGTTCCACATAAGAAATTACATGGTTCTTGCAGAGAGAATGTAAGTCAACAAATGAAATACTCAGGGTAAGTGAAGAAAATAGATAATAAAGGGCAATTTTCTTGAGGCAAAAAATATGGAAAACAAGAGGTTTAGAGATTGTTTGTAAATTACATGACGAAGAAATGAATGTTGAAACATTTTGCACCCTTTCTGTTTCTTTTTATTTCTTTGTAAGTCCTTTCACTGACAAGCCAGCTGGTTCCAGTAAGGCCAATCTCTTCCCATTTGGCTGGTTTTTCTATGTAATCCCTTTTTGGGGTGTGTGTATTTGTCAAAGATACACACAGTTGGGAATGGTACAGATGGCTACAGATTTACTGCTTTCCCGTTTGGCCTTCTGCAGCTTGAATATCTCGTGGCTCTCACAATGCTGGGCCTGATACAGAGCTCCTAAATCATGCTCTGGCAAGGACTCACTTCCCTCCCTTTGCTTCCTCTGCTCCATCCCACACATCGCATAACTAACTACCCGCTAAAAATATGGTTTAACACCTTACAGACTTGTCCCTATTAATGCATCGCCATCGTCCCTTCTCACACTTTCTTCATCGATGTCTTTTCCTTTCTCAAAGGCTCTTCTTGCAAATAAAATGTCAGCTTAATTTATGGAGAAGAATTTACCCAACTTATTTCCATATTTATGATACCAAGTACTGTCAAACAACATTTGGTTAAATGAATGATTTTGAGGTTTATAATTGGCTTGTCCTTGTATGGATGATTGTTGGCAGCTGGTTGTAAAAGAAAATATTGACTTTAACTCTACAAAAATAAAATGTGAATCATTGTTATACTAGCAAACACCTTTGCATCAGGACATCGTCCTTTACCTGTGGCAGTACTTTCAATTTCCCTTTCTATATTTCAAATGTCATTGAAAAGGGAATAAAATACTCATAGGGAATGTTAGGGGATGGACTCTAATAGAGGCAAAGGTGGTTTCAAAAACTCAGACAAATCAAGAGGAAGAAATTGAGTGACAGTTTCACAGCTTGACTCACACTCGCCCTGTTTTTGATTCACAGACCCTAAATGATATGTGAGAGGCTACTTCCTGTCCTCTCCCAAGGAAACACCTGATCTGGCGCCCATATTTAATTCATGACAAGCTACAACTGCCTGGTTTGGAGAGGACTCAGCATTTCAGGGTGAAAAGAACAAATGAACAGAGAGAAAGACATCCATGCAGTACACCCAGGGCCACAAATTAAGAGGCATTTCTTCTTTACAATCTCACGTTCAATCATATTTTATTCAGAAGTCTACGACAATTGCTGTCTCTTCCCACAGGCAGATTGAATGTGTAATTTCCTCCATCTTCTTGAAAGCTGACAGTTTGACAATTGCAGAACAGCGACTGCTGTTTTGGCAACCAAAGTCCTGCCAATGAGGCAGTGTCTGGGTTCTTCTGCCAGTCAAGTCTGTCTCACACTTATGCCATTATTTGTCCTGAAAAGTCTTCTTCTTCCTGTTATTTCTCTGCTTAGCCTCTCAATAGGCTCACCTTTTTTTCAAGATGCCCATTTTCACTCATTCCTTTAAGAATGTAAGCTGTTATGCATAACAAATTTACTTTTGCTTTGACCTTCTCCCAACCTGTAGGGAAATGCAATGAGATTCCCAGCACTATATTGAGGTGCTCAAAAGAAAACAAACAGATCTCAGCTTTGTGTTCCAACAATTCACAGATGGCTTCAAGACTTGCAAGTTAAACACGTTCTGGACCATATTTGATTACAACGTCTGAGACTATTGGACTGCCAGCCCACTCAGTCATTGTTAAGGAAATGGTATTGTATCTACTGGCATTAGTTTTATGCTACCACTTTGAAAACTAACTGAAACTTTGGGTTTAGGGCATAGGATAAATCTGTCACACAAGAGAGTTTCATTGAAACCTACAACAGTTCCATCACCTGCATGTTGACATCAGGTGATATAAATAAAGACTCTAATTTTGAATATTCTGTGGCTTTTTGACATTTTGAAAAACTAACACTAAAATAAGTGGTTGATTTTTAAACAATGCTGCTTCCACAAGTTGTTTTATGATAACATCATGTTGATATAGAGAATACTTTCGGATCAGAAATTATGTTGACAGTTTGTTGAAATGTATTACTGTATAAGTAGGTTATTTGCATTTAAGTATACTCAAGAAAACTTACAGGAATAAAGTGTATCATATTAAATGAACAAAAACACTTGTTATTCACCATTAGTGTTTTAGTAATCCAGTTAGAGCTGTAACATCTCCACATACTACAAAACGATGTGTAAACAATAATTATAGGAGTGCGCCATGTGAAGTAACACCTGTTAACAATAAAACAATGGTAATTGATTGTAAAGCAGTCAAATTAAACATTTGGATGAAGACATCATGCAGGGTGGGATCAAATCAGAAGTATGGGTACTTACCGACAGGGCGAGCTGGAGACACAACAATGGAGGAGTGGATACATAAATAAACAAATCAAGACACAGACAAACAAACAAACAGAAAAGAAATAAGACAAAACAAAATCAAAGTCAGAATGAATGACATGTTGCTTTGTGGCCAACCCTTTTCTGGCACAGGGTCAGCATGGCAGAGAGGATCCAGTAGTCTTTGTCCACTGGACAGTTGTATTGATTAGCTCAAAGGCTCTGTTTCTCAGACACAGCATGTCTGGTACAGCCAATCTAATATGAGCGCACCCTGGTGGTCGCAAATGTCCAATTCAGGCCATTACTTTTGTGAGAGACAAAAAAGCTACTGGACCTTTGTGGTCTGCATTAATGAAATCTACATTTGTACGGATGTTGTGTGTCTGTAGTAGCAAAATGAAGGTGTGTTTTTTTAATGGACAGAGCAGAATAAAGGAGATCAATAGAAAGCAAAAACGTGAAGACAGCATGTGCGTTCATGTTTCTTCGGTGCTGTATATGTCATCATCTTCAAGCAAAACACTAAGACGCTGCCTTCACAAATCACTAGCCCAATAAGAGAAAATGACCCACACCTGGTTTTATCCACCCATGGGCATGGCCCTGTGTCCCTGTAAATAATTCAACAGAGACTCTAATCACTTGGATTTAGTGGAAATAAGAGTGGCGAAAAGATGTTTTTATTAACTTCGCAAAACCCCAGGTGTTGGACTGGCGGTGTGCACCAGTAATCTGTGAAATGGCTTTGCTGACTGGGTGGTTGCAGAATCGAGGGTAGCGTGGCTAGCAGACCACCACGACGGGGGGAAGGTGGCAGAGTGTGTCGACGCTGCACTTGGAAATGTAAATAATTAAACAGATTCATTGACTGTCTACATCTTTCTTGGCTGCGGGAGTCAGCATACTGGGTTCCTATTTGTGTAAAGGGGACCCTATGGAGTAAACTACCAATCTGAACCTCATTTTAGTGCACATGTACGTTACCTTCAGTGCTCCATGACTTCTCTAAGTGTTGTCACATGCTAGTTATTGTCCCAAAAAAAAGAAAATAAGGTTTTTTTTACCTCTGACGGTGAGAGTGGCGGAGGCCTCCAGCTTGCCCACGCGGTTTTCTGCCACACAGGTAAACGTGCCCTCGTCGTTAATGGAAGCCTTCTTCACTCTCAGCAAATAGTCATCCTTGTCATACTTGATCTCGTACCTGTGAACAAAGATGTTACACCATCAGAATCAGAAGCAGGTTTATTACCAGGTAGGTTAACACATACGAGGAATCATGAAATCTAAGTTACCTGTTCAACATTGAAAATACATACTTTACATTCAGATAACAAATTAACCCTTTGACAGATAAGACTTGCTTCAGTATATTACCTAGCTGGTAAAAGTTTCCTTTGTGAGGAACACAGAAGCACAATTGTTCATTCTGACAAATGAAGATTGCAAGGATCAATTATTCAACAATGACAGACAACACACAGAGTGTTGTGCGTTCAGTTGGAACCTTCCAAAACTCGTTCAATATTCATGAGATGCTTCTCTCTCTCTCTGTGTATATATGTTTAAACCATATACAGAGCTTTAAGTGTGTACATGTGCATAACTAGGCCATGCTGCAGCCACACCCCTATGCATGGATATACGTATACAATAAATCTAATAATAAAGAGCTACACCTTTGTATTGTAGAAAAACAGGCTGAATGTATAGCATCTATACTGTAGCTGGCTGTAATTTCAATTACACTGCAGTAGTCAACTGTTTGTGTTTATGTTTTTTTCACAAGAGGTTGTGTGTGCCTAGACCTGTATACATTTCAAGGCAGTTGACAGGGGGATGATGCTGGTCAGGCTTGTTGTTTCAGTCTGTAATTGAAGGGGGTGCTGGCCTGGCAGTGCGTAAGTAGTGGGGGTGGTGGAGCTGTGTGATGGTGGTCTGTCAGCCTGACAACCTTCTGCTGTCCACAGTATGTCACTCACAGGCACAGAGAACAGTGTTGAGATGAACCGATAACAAGCCACTATGTGAGCTTGACACGTTGTTGCCCCTTTAGAGCACATGTGCAGCATTTTAATAAGATTGTCGAATATTTTTGAATATAATCCGACAATAAAAACTGAAATTGTTGCAATCTGTGTGTTACTTTCAGCCTTAAATATGAGTAATACTGTCCATATATATATATATATATATATATATATATACACCACTTGGAATCCCCCAAAGCCAGAATGTTTAAAATCCACAAAGGGGCTTTAAAGGACAGCCCTGACATTACATTCTTCTTTTATTATAGCTTTTACCTCTGTGCCATAAAACTCCAAACTTGCAGCCCAACAACTATTAAAAATACACAAGACATAAAACATGGTGCTAACCCTTCAGAGATTGGAAAATGCAGTCGCAAAGTTATTTCAGAACTACACTGGCCATGTTCATTGTAATGAAGAAATATGCCACCCGGTCCAAAAGTATGACTCTTTTATGTGTTTTTAATGGCCTTTAGATGACAATAGAGCTCTGTGGCACAGAGGAGTACGGTATATTGGACTTTGGCTACACAGCTTGCTAGAGGGATGCATATATTTCTGGTTTTGGTCTCTTCAGGGAAATTGCTGATATTTAAATAGAAGTGATTTATATTTTAAACTATGAGGTATTTTAGGGTAACTGTTTACTGTGGATAATACATTGGACTATTAGATATGGCAACAGTCTTTGATTTACAACGAACATTTCTGATGTGATTTTAGAGTAACAGCATGCTATGGTCCATTCCCCTCAGAGTGGGAAAGACCCCTCTGCTCGACCATCAGGTGTACTGATGGCTGCTTGCCACTAGCAGCTGCAAAACTAATCTGTCCTGTCCTGTATTTTTTTTCACCTGCTGTTATGACATTTCCTGAGCAAGCATTCAAAGGCAGCTTTATTGAAGCACATTCCTCAACTCTGACTGCCAGTTCCTCCTATCCACACAGGTACTTAAGGAGCCATAATGATTATTTGACTGGGTCATGACTGAATGCTTTGTTCTAGAGAAAGGGGATGTACAGTTCAGGTAAGGGTGGGGGACGTGAATAAAGCATTTATTGTTGAAACTGAGAGACAGGCATCTACAGCACATTTTGTGACAAGCCTGTTGTCAGATGAAGAATAAACAAGCTAATAGAACGAGAATCCTCCCACAACATGCCCCAGGCTTCAATGGGAAGCTCAACATGAACTACTGGCTTGCAAGAGGAGGTGGAGATAAGCAAAAGAGTGGCAATGGCTTAGGGAAAACACCATGACTCCCAAACAAACAAAGATGAGAGCAAGTGAACAAGATACAAATATTTTTGAGCACTTTCAAACACCCAACCATATGCAGCTCTGCGTCAACAAACATCAGCATTCTACTGTAGGTAGAAGGTTTGCCGTGTTCATCATGCTAGTTTAAAATGATGATACATTTTGGTATGTAACATTTGCTTATTAGTGATATCATAAAGTACAGCTAAAGGTAGATCATTATTCATTTTGTATCTGAAGTTAGCAGGGCATGCAAAGTTTAGGTTTGAATTAATTTAATGAACCTCTCTGCAACTTACACGTTGATATTATAGCTCATGTTAATCAATGGAATAGTTGTGAGGACATTTTGTTTAAATCCACACATGTCAACATCATGGTGGCGCTAGAGAAAGAGTCAGGGCATCACCTAAGTCCATTTCAGTCTGGACCAAAATGGTGGACTGACCAATTCAATGGCAGAAGGACATTACCATCTAAAGAGCCATGCTAACATCATGGCTAACAAAATGTTGCAAATACTTTTGACCACGTTAATCTTGTGACCTCTAAAAATGTGACAGACATAGTTGTGACTAGGGCTGCTCGATTACGGCAAAAATCATAATCTCGATTATTTGGGTCAATAATTGATATCACAATTATTAAAAACGATTATCCATTTACTTTTAAAACATCAATTTATTGAAAAACAAATGTGAACGGTATGTTTTTAACAGTTGGTTACCCTGAACTTTAAGTATAATTCAACTGAAAAAGCAATACAAAATGTTTTTTTAATTAAAAAATAAATAATCATTTTATTTCGATTATGTTGTTTTCATAATCGTTGCAAGCCAAAATTGTAATTGCGATTAAAATACGATTAATTGAGCAGCCCTAGTTGTGACACTGTGTTAAGGTAATGTATTAGAGCCAAATATGTTATAATCTCAAAACAACAAAACAAGTGAACAGTTCAACTGCTCATACAGTTTCCTTCAGTCTGACATCTGCATGACCGAGCCCTAACCATTTGGATAACCCACGTATACATGTACTGGACAACATGCTTTTTGTTCTAGGTCTCTACTCCATCAATCTCTCAAAAGAGAACCTCAGGCTGGTCCAGGACTTATTAGGGGAAAACATGAGCCCAATCAATCTGTAATCAACTTCCTATATGGAATCAGCCTAGATGACAAGATGAGTGGAAATACTCAGGGATAAGAGGTAACAGAAAGGGAACAGTAGCTCTTTATTGAGACTGAATTGGGCATAGTTCTGTTCTCTATTAGAGGAGGAATGTAATTGCACATGTAGAAGGGCTTTGGAAAGGATAGGAGAGCCAAGTTCACTCTCCCTCCTTTTCAACAGAGAAAAGGCACGCTGTACACACACGCACTCACACAAAGAACAGAGTACACAATCATCCAACACATTTCCACGCATGTGTCGAGTCATTCAATCTTGCAGGAAGATGAGGAGTGATGGGAATGTAAGCAAAGGCCAAGACAAAGCAGCATTTTCCTGGGTTGTCAACTTGATGTGTTTGCTGCACGAAGAAGGCTGTGCAAAGATGACAACTTTATTGCACAGACTTTAAAAGGCATCACATCTCAAAAGTCCTGCAGATGATCTGCTTTGAAACCATCCGTCAGAAACACACTCACCCATGTTCCACCTTCAGACTTGTGCCAATTCACCCGCATTAAGTGAATCGTATATCTCGGTAGTGTGTCCGACTGAATGTGTGCGTACTGTTATCCACAAAATGACTCGACCTGAGAGGATCTTATCTGCTCTGTCTCTGTGTGTACATGAATGGGGCCGGCTGTAGGCAGAAGGGTTGTGCGCCAACTCTGACTCAAGATACGGCAGAGGACCAATTCAGGCCTGCTCTCTGGCCATGCTGTTCTAACACAAAGTCCCCTCTCTGCTCCATTTCATTCTGTCAGTCTGATCCAGTTTCACACCATCCAACAGCTACTTTAGCACATCCTGATCAAAAGAGCTGGAGACTACCTGTCCAGGGCTAAGAGAGGGAATCAATTAACCCCTATCGCTTCTCATCTTCCTTTTGTAAGGCCCTTAGCCAGAACTCTACTCCCTACTGGCATCTCTGAAGCATCAGCAGGGTCAGGGCCTACTGTCAGTCTGACTTACATTCAGCACCATATCCTATATTGATATAAGATCAGTTTGGAAAGACTTTGACCCTTATTGTAAGGCTGGTGGTTTGTGGGTAGTAAACTGATCCGAAATGTGCCTTTAAAAGAGTGACTTCTCTCCAGTGCCACAGTGGCAGCAGTGAAGTCTTTACTTATTCAAAAGAGGTTTGGAGCGGTCAGTATGGTAAATCTGGAAATGGAGATAGAGAAAACAAAAGAGCAAAGTATAGCTTATTGACTGATGCCAAGAAGACACTCCTACTCTTTCTCTTTCGGTGAGCGGGTGTGAAGAACAAAGGATACTCTCGTACCAAGGGCCCTGAGAAAGTCACATGTATATGCTGAGGTAAGTCATCTAGGCTTTCTTAGCAATTGAGAGGTAATTTTCTTTCTTTCCATGAGGATGAAAAGCTCTTATACATGATGAATTATCCACTGTGTATCATCCTAATTAATGCAAAACTAACATTTCTATATTCAGAATTTCATAAACAGAGTATTCTTGTTTTATACCCATTAGTTTACTGTTGACACAATCAATAAACCACTGCTGAGCATCATACTGCTATTGCACTCAGCACCCCCCATACACATGCACACTCATAAATACCAGATGTATCCACTTATATATCAGGGGAAGTAATGGAGACAGGAACCATAGCTTGCCGTCTTTTCATTTTGCTGCAGAGGTGAGAAACCACTGAAACTGGATGGTCAGCATAACGCAGACGCTCCTGTCACACTAGCTTTAACAGCTCTCTCAAATATAATGACCCACACACCTCTATCATAGACAAACCCACACCGGTGCAAAACCACGAAGGGAATGAGTCAGAAATAAAGGCTTTTTTCTGCTGAATGTTGCAGAAGCTGTGCTGTGGAGGTCAATGGGGACAGGGGGCCTGAATACAGATAGACTGCAGGACCAAAGAGGCTCTGATAAGGCACAGCAGAGGGCACAGGGGTCCGGAGCAAACAAGGAGGGAAAGGGAAACCAAAGGAGGGAATGACGAGGCCAAACACTGAGCTGGTAGCCAGTGGGAGATAACACACACTGGCAAAGTCTTTTTACTGGGATTCATAGACTATGGTGGAGACTCTTCCATTTGGAGACACAAAGCTCCCTGGTTCTCCTCTCCTGGCTCTCTGATGTGGGAGCAGCTATTCTGTACTTTCCCCAAGAATCAGCAGAGATGCTTTACAGACTGATAGTAATATGATCCTGATAGAATTCCAAATGAAGCTGCTCTTAAAAATGATATGTTTTCTGGTTTAAGGATTACTAGGGCTGCAAAATGACAAAATATATGACATTAATCTAATTTTAGGTAAACTGTCTTGGTAAAAAGATTGCACCACCATATGCGTACAATATGAGATAAAGGCTTTTTTTGTTGTTGTAATGCAATCAGCATTAAAACGTGATCATGATGTGCATTTAAGGAAAAACCATTACGAGAGTAAGAACCTGCAATGTTACCAAACGGCTGATCTAATTTCAGCAGCCGGTTATCATTCTGTCATGGCCTGGCTATTAGTACATGTATTTGTGGTGGACTACATGTATGTAACAACTCAAAGACTCCCATCCTCTTAATAATGAAATGGTTTGATTGGAATTCGGAAAGAAGCATTTGATATCAACACTTATATAAAATGGTATATTTGTTTCTTAAATAACAAGATCCTGTTATTAGGCGTTGGGTTGAACACAGTCCAGACAGTGCTTTAAAATATCCACGTCAATTTGGTTATTTCTAAATATTTCTTATTTAGATTTGGATCAAAAGTCAATGCTAATATTTAAGCTCAATATCATAATTAATGCCCCTGCAGTTATAATGCACCTGTTGTTACTCAACACTTATACAGTAGCTATGTATTTGACTCTGACATGTACCAGACTGTTATTTGAATGGTTTCACAGGGATATGTCTAGGGATTTGGCCTCATACTGAAAAATGTACCTATTGTATTACTTTGCCGTACCAAAGCTTGTTGGCCAGTCTCCTAGAGTAGAAAAGCTGGTTTGATTTTAATCCAGTTTTTTTTTAACAAACGCAGTAAAACTCCCACACAGAGGCAAAAGAGCATCACTATTGTCTCTGTCCTCTAATTGAAACAATCCTTGTGCTGTCTCTTTTTCCTTTTTCTATCCCAGAGACTGAAGCCAGTGCCATCCTGATGGGCCTTATGTCTATGTGCCAGTGTGTGCATGTGTTTGCCTGGGAGGCTGCTGAAACCACTGAGCATATTAAAGACCTGTTTACTCAGCTGAGGCTCCATTTCCCTTCTTCCTAGTATAACAATTATACACAAACACACACATGAAAAAACAGGCACGCACAAGTGTAAAGGGACCAGCAAAGACAAGTTAAAACGATTTGATGGTAAAGAAGGAGCCACTTTACTAAGTCCCTCCTTTTACAGCTTAACATAATAATAAGGACAGTGTAACCTTTTGAGGTAAAGAGCAGACAAAGACCACTCCTCGCTGCATATAGAAGTGCTTGATCTTTAATCGTTTACTCCTATGGTTAAGACCATTACTGTTTGACGCCTACGGGGTGGTGACACATCAGCTGCCTCTATTTCTTCTTGTTTTTCTGAGCACATGCCAGTTATCTTACTGGAAACTACTCCTGTGTGGGATTTTCAACCATTCTTCTGTCAGTCAGAGAAGGCATTGTTTGATGATTATTAAGTGAGGATACATGGTAGGGAAAGCAGGAACACTCAGTCACTTTAAAATACGAGTTTTCTTTTAGCCATTCAACAAAGGCAGCAGAAAATGTCAGAATTTGAATATTGCAGTCTTCGTGCTTGCTTTCTGCGTCTGCAGAATTAAATATAGTGAGGGAAACTAAAGGATTCTCATTGTAATTAGAAACATTTGTTTGGCAGTGTCTTTTTTATTGTTTTCTGTTCTTTTTTTAATATCCGAATAAGGCATAACTTCAAAGGGACAAGACGGTACGCAAGGACGGAAGCACATGACTCTCCTCCTACTCAGTTATAAATCTGTTAATTAGTGTACAAAATGAACTCATTTCCTGAGCCAACTCCCTATCAAAGGCATGAGTGAAGTACTTATATGTGTTTGCTTTGGCACAGTGCTCGTGTCGAACTGCCCAGTGAACCAAATCCTTATCAGACACAAACAACCCGCCCACGCACAGCTCTGCGGCTAGCCTTGAGAGATGTCAGGTCCACTGAGTGTATGTTTTTATGAGGTGATCCAAGCAGTGTGTGGCTGGCTAGTTTGCTAGGGACAAAAAACGCTGGTCTCTTTGAAGTCCACTCCCGACAATGACACTACTATTGACTGGGAGTTCAGTGACTCATGGTGAAGCAACAGGCCAACACACGGGACCAAGAAGCAACAGCTTTTCTATGTCATCAGTAGCTTTTTACAGGAAGTGAGCCAGACTATCTGGCAACGATGCTTTCTTGGTACAGACTTGTATTCCCTATTTTATTTGATCACTGTGTGTTTTTGCAGCTGTGAGTGAATGCATGTGTCATGTCAGCAAGGGTATAGACACTGAAAGGGGTTAAATGTGTAAGAGAGGGAGTGATTATCCTTTTATGAGGTGTCTGTGCCAAGACTTCACCTGAATAGCTGCACCTGTACACAGACACTTGAGGGCCACGTCAGCAGCTATACTATGTATCTGTATATCTGCTGTCTTTCTATCTGTCTTGGTCTGCTTTGCAATGGGGCCTATTTTCTGCTCCTGTAGATGTCTACCTTTTAGCCTCCCTGCCAACTTACCTGTCACTCACTTTTAATTGTCTAGCTCAGTTTCTGGTTGTTTTCATGCAGACTCTTTCCTTGACAAGATACAATGTCTACCCCTCTGGCTGTGGGAGCCGTGTTATGGGATACCAAAGGGTGGGCTCATTCCATCCAGAATGTGAAATATGCATTGTGTAGAGCCTAAATAAGATTTGAAATATCCCTTAGCAGCCAGGCCAGGTGAGCGCTGTCAGTGAGGGCTATGATTACTTCAAAACTGTCCCTCAGATTGACATTAATGCCTCCACAGCTCCTTTATATAACGTGCAACCTGTCACATTGGTGGTGGTGCTGCAAACCCACACATACATTTCATTACTATATTAAGGAAGCTCTCTATAGAAATAAAGCATATTTTTAAAGAATGTTCCTCTACCTTCCACGAGGGACATCAACGTCGTCTTTCCTCCAGCGTACATTTGGCTGAGGGTCTCCCTGTACTTGGCAGCGAAACTCCACCGTCTCCTCTTCCAGGACCACCTGGTTGATGGGCCTCCGGAGGAAGGTCGGTCGTTCTGCATGATGGGCACCGAGGATAGAAAAGGAACATATTATTATATAATGTAGTGGGATTATGTTAGTGGGTAATGAAAATTCAATTTCTTCTATTTTCCACACAGTGGTTTCTTCTTTCAGACTGGTGACCTTCTGTCTACTAACTCTTGCTTTCATAACTCTCTTAGTCCATTCATTCATATTTTCTATGGTCATTATATTGATAGAGAAATATAGTCAAAACCTTTAAAAGCATGATCAACAGGAATATACAATACAAAAGTCGCTCTGCGACATCATTGAAGACAACATTTCCAAATAAATCTTACCAAACACGGTGACTTGTGCTGTCTCACTGTCCCTCTCTCCGACCATGTTGGTTCCCACACAGATGTACATGCCAGCGTCGCTCTTTCGTGTGTTGGAGATCATTAACTTCCCTCCTCGAATCTAGAGAAACAGAGAGTTTTTGGTTTAATACAAAGATAATGCATTTCTTTCAGCTGTTGTCAAAATGTATTTAGTTTTTTCTTGCGTTGAACTGAAGCAACCAAATGATTATACTTTCATCAAACACTAAAAAACACTGCTAAATGTGTTCGATGATAGCAGCATGAGTTGTGCCCAGAAACTGAAAGTGAGAGACATTGACAGTAGTTCGAACTATTGAGTCCAGGTATTAAAACAGATAGAAATAGTACTTACAGTTATCCTGTCATCCTTGTCATCAATTCGCACTTTGTCTTTCTTCCAGTAGATGGTGGGTTCAGGGTGGCCTCGGGGCGGAACACACTCAAGGATTGCTGGTTCTCCTGCGGCCACCACCACGTCTGTCGGGTTCTGTCTGAAGTCATCTCGCAGCACTGACAACAAAAAGGAAATAAATAGTTCAGGAAGAGTGCAAATGTTTAAGTCTACAATTTTTATAACACAGCGTGAATGTATACAGCTTATATCGTGGCTATTTTGAATGGGGTGTGCCGCTTCATCTGACAAAGCCAGCACAAGTGAAGGCTAATTGGAGCTAATGGAGGTCCCTGAGGAGGCAGCAGAACAAACAGATACAGAATGCCCTGAAGCCTGATGTCATTCACATGTGAGAGCTCACATGGTGCAACACGGCTTCACTCTGCTTGCATGTACACACTCACAGACTTACACACTCACACCTACAGATATGTGTTAATGCACAACAAAACAGTAGGTGGTCTGGTGAACAACTATGGCCAGCTTGTATACCCCTCAGGTAGGCCTTTCATCACAGAGATAGCCTCTCACCCAGGATAGTGCTCAGCAAAACACACAACACCAGATCATTATCAAACATGGCGATCTGCTGTCAAACACACAAGCATGTCAATATGAATGCACAAATGTATGCAAACATACTAGCAGGATACACCTTCCATAATAATTTCACATACATAATACCTAATGCATTAGAAAGGTATAAACTGGGGGTAGTTCTGGCTTCCCCCCCTGCTGTGTGTACTCAAACAGATCTATCTCCATTTGATCTGCAATAAATCGAATCCAAAGAGATGCACTATATACATTTCAGCTACAGCAGTGTCCATCCACGCGGGAGCGAGGGACACATTATTCCTCTGAAGGATAAAAGGACTGAGCTTGTTGGAGGATGTTTGAAGACGCTTGAGAAGGGCTAAATTAAGGGCAGCACCATAGGTCCTTATGTAAATTCCACATAGCACCGGGGACAATGGTGGGGAGGGCTAGGATTATAAGAGGGGATAACTGGTCCCTGCGCTGCAGGCTTCTCTCATCTCTTCATTCACTCTCCTTACCCTCTCTACAGAGAGCCATTGTCTTTTTATTTATTTATTTAGACCAAGGGGGAGAGAGGCGGAGGAGGAGAGGAAGCTTTCAACCCAATTATCCTGGGGATGCACAGGGGTACAGAGTGGGACTTTTGTGTGACATGAATTCAAATGAAACCTTTACACAGGGGTAATGGGACAGAATACAGAAGAGATAGAGGATTTCTCTCTCTAATGCAGGGCTGCCCTATAAAGGGCTAAGGTAATTAGCCGAATCCAGAGTGGCGACCGCCTGGCCAGGGATATCAGCCACCACCACTGGGCTCGGGGTATTTGCATTACAAACAGAAGTCATGCTGTTTAAAATCATAGCCTGGTTTGGGCCATACACAGCCTGATGTTTTCACGATGGCGATGGATTTAATTGCTCCTTTCCATTCATTGCTGATAGCACCCATGGGATTTTGTCAGAATCAATTTTGTTTGAAACAGAGGAGTGACAACATAAACACACATTAGGTGCATCATTACGGTGCCTGTGCCACGCTGTCTGTTCTAAAGTCTCATACTACAAGGCACTATGTACGTCACACTAAATGCATCTCTGCCCTGCAATCTAAATTAATACAACAAATGTGAAAAGAGAATAATGAAAAAGAGAGAAACCATACAATCCAGCTAAATGAATACAATGTACACACACGCTTTTTTGAGAACAGGATAAACAGTGGATTGCAAACAGCAACAAGCAAACAAACAGATACCACTGGTGAGGGATTATGCCTCTGTGTGTTGGTTCAGGGCTTGCTAATACCAAGACTACACTCTAACCAGTTTGATGTACTAAGTAAATGAGGGGAGGGTTCAATCAAAACACACTTTATTAAACAATCTAATTGTAACCACAAGGTCACATTCCTACGGTTAGAGCGCAAACACACAACTTAAATATCTACTTAGTGAACGTTTCTAGCTTCATTACAGTATGAGCATGTATCTCTCAAATTGTTGCCCGCAGGCACCACTGTGGGCTGAACCACCCTCTGCCGGAGGTCCTAAAGCAAGTGAATGATGTGAATACGGCTGCTTTTCTCTGTTAATCTGTGAGAAGTGCATCTGGTATGTGTGAATCATTAGGTGGGTTTGTGCATTTGTTGTCAGAAATTGAACTCCTGCTCCAACTAGGAGGCCCTGTAGGCATTCAGATCCGAATCAGCCGACAGACATAAGGTAATTGGCTTTCTATCCCCCTGAAACACTCAGCTCTTCTTCCACTGAAAACATCTCACCTCCCATGGAGTTCCAGTAGGCCTCAAACTCTGCCGTCTTGCTTATTAATATTTATATATTATACATTTACACCCCTCTGTTGGCAAATGCTACATCTGTCAATCCTGCTGCGGGCTAAAAGAACCCATATCTGAATAATATTAATCTGTCTTTGCTTCTTCTCTATTTATTTAACTCCACAAATCAGAGGAGTGGGCTGATTGGAAAGAAGGAGCATCAGGCAGGGGGCAAAACATGGCAAACGTGCAGCTCTTAAAGCTGGCACTGTTTCAACAGCTGCAACTTTTAAAGGGGAGGGAGTCAGGTTGCAAGATGCGCAAGGAAACAGCCAAGGGGTTGAGGTCTTTGCCAAAATAAAAATACAAAGAAGACACCCACACAGTTACTCTGAAAAGCAGATTGTCCAACATTGGCAGGGAAGGCCTGTGCCAGCAACCATCAGGGAGGTCCACCTCGGTAGTGTGTGTGTGTGTGTGTGTGTGTGTGTGTGTGTGTGTGTGTGTGTGTGTGTGTGTGTGTGTGTGTGTGTGTGTGTGTACAAATAATGTGTCCCGGCGCAAATACATGACAGCACCCTTCAGCATAGCAAAGAGGTGGCAGGGCGAAGACAGGTGAGGAGAGATATTTTGTACATTGCTGCTCTTTTCCTTCCCAAGATATTACTCAGCAGAGGATGACACTGCTGGTCAGTGAGATTAGTGGGAAGTCCTGACTGAAGCGTCCAGCCTGCATACTGAGATAAGTGCTGACAAATGCACTCTGCTACAGGAGGGTACCTAGCTCTGGTTCACAAAGGTTGCACTCATGCCACAACACCGCACACTGATGTGTGAAGAATATGTATTTCCCCTCCTCAGTTTTGACATTCACATCAATATGACATTTCACCACACACAGGCAACTATGCACAAACCTGACACAACTGTAAAAGCTGCAGGGCTTGGTGTCTTTTTGTAATACTGAAAATGTTAATATTTGTGTATTTTTGTTTAGTTGTTATTACTTCCCCCCCCCCCCCCCCCCCTATTTACTGCCGAAAAGAACCCCTTTGCTTTCAGATATTCTCCTGGGTCAGGGGCTAAGAAACACAGAGAGAGATTACAACAGCTAGAAGCCCGGGGCCATACCCCGGCACCCAGACCCAGCACCTTCTACCCACACTCTGATTAAAAAATAAACCATGCACACACACACACACACACACACACACACACACACACACACACACACACACACACACACACACACACACACACACACACACACACACACACACACACACACACACACACACACACACACACACACACACACACACACACACACACACACACACACACACACACACACACACACACACACACACACACACACACACACGCACACACACACACACAACCTGTTAAAGCTGAAGAGAGGTAGCTCCAAGCTATAATATCATTTTGTTCAAGTGCTTTTTGCGCTTCATCCGGCAGAGTGCTATTACAATACCACCAGTTTCAGTTCCACCCTTAGAGAGAGACAATATATGTGTCACTTGACAAAACATACAAAATCCACTCTATGTGCTGTCATTGATGTTTTGTATTACTGTTGACGCTGAAGGCAGCAGAAGGATAATGCCACACTATATATTACCACACTGTGAAAGGAGATGTGCTCCATTTGTCTGGATGCAAGCTTTCACCCCCTCGGTCTCGCTCATTTGCCCTCCCACTGGCCAGAACTAACCTTTGCCCCCCATCCAGATGCAGAAATTACCCCCTCAGCAGGCAGGCTAGAAGCAGGTTCACACATACCCTCTATATTCCTCCACCGAGGGGTTGCAGGTCAGACCAGAGAAACAGCTGAAAAAATATGGACGTCTGGCAATGCCCACGGCTATACCTCCTGAGAAATGAGTCTCATCATTAGCACAACTCATCACCATCTCTCTGCCTGTCTTATTCTTCAGCATCAGAGGTCATTATTTTTCTCTGGCTATTTGTTTCCAATGCCACAGCTTCGTGCCATGCTTTGCTTCTCCTCCACTCACTTCCACTGGTCTGTCAGCGCTGCCTCTGCACTCTGCAGATGAAGCCATATCCCTGCACAAGCGATCATTCTCCATAGACCATGGTGAAGCCTGATATGATCTCCACCGCCATTCTCCCTATCTGCAAATCCTCAGCCAAGGGATTGTAAATAACACTGTCACTTTCACAGATAAGATGGAGGAAATATGGAAAGGAGCGAAGGTAAAGAGAATCATATGGTCGGCAGTGATGCCATAGTGGGGGAAATGGCAGGAGGCGATAACGTACAGAATGAGCATATTTAACAGAAGGAATGTTTGCTACGGCGAGAAACTGGAGGGAAAAGGGGCAAGGCATAACACAACACAGTAGGGGATGAGGAGAGGATGCCTGATCAAGGTCAAACTGAAGAGGTAGTGAGGAGCACAAAGGTGCTGAATGGATGGGGCTGACTGCAAATGAACAGAGTGCATTTCATCAAACTCATACCACATAGTGTGCCTCTAACTCTGATTCATTAGATAAGACTGAACAAACAGCCTTATTCAAACAGTAGCCCGGTCGAAGCTGATTTTTCAAAGATCACCCCTAATTTGGACTAACAAGCCCCTAGGCAGCACAATGATGACAATAGGACCGCAGTGGGCGATTCTGCTGGCTGATCCAGGACAAATGTGCCGTGCTGCTCCTGAGACAATATCATTAACTCTCAATGAACCACTTTCCCCGAACAATACCAACACGCAGACACACTCACAAGCACACACACAATTCAATTTA